GGAGTCACACGCTGTGTGCTTGTGTGTCTGCTTCTCACTGAGCACCGTGTCCTCAGGGTCCCTCTATGATGTAGCAAGGGTCACAGCCTCGCTCCTGTTCATGGCTATATGATAGTTCAATGTAGATAGAGCGTGCTGTGTGTCTAATTATTAGTTGAGATATTTGGGTTGTTTTTTGTGTACTAATTTTTCTTTCTTTTCCTCAGGTACTAATGTTGGTGTGGATAGATTTTTGTTTTCAGTCCTGGGGTTGGAGCTCAGAAGTGCATGCTAAGGTGCTCACCACTGAGCTACCTCTGTAGCCCTTGGGTAGATGTCTTCATTTCTCTTGGGTACACACTTAGGGATGGAATTACTGGGATATGTCATAACTCATTTTCCACCTTTTAAGGACTACCAGACTGTTTTCCAAAACAATTGCCCAAGGGACGAGGCTGATCCTCAAGTGATACGCCACCTGCCTAGCAAGTGTGAGGCCCTGAGTTCAAAACCCAGAGCTACCAAAGGCAAAATAAACATCAAAATACTTGTCACATTTTGCATTGCTTGCTTTATTTTTTATTTTTATTTTTTTGTGGTACTGGGTTTTGAACTCAGGGCCTTCACCTTGAGCCACTCCACCAGTCCTTTTTTTGTGTTCAGTATTTTCGAGATAAGGTCTCATGAACTATTTGCCTGGGCTGGTCTCCAACCAGGATCCTCCTGATCTTAGCCTCCCAAGTAGCTAGGATTACAGGCGTGAGCCACCTGTGTCTGGCTCTGTTTTGCCCTCCTAATAGCAGTGTATGAGGGTTCAAATGATTGGGCTGGCAGATGGCTCAAGTGGTAGAGTGCCTGCCTAGCAAGTGTGGGGCCCTGAGTTCAAACCCCAGTACTGCCAAAAAGCAAAATAAATGTTCCTCCACATCCTTCCCAGCACTAGTCATTCTCTTTTTTTCTTTTTTTCGAGACAGAGCCTAACTATGTAGCCCAAGCTGGCCTTGAACTTGGTATCCTCCTGCCTCAGCCTCCCATTACTGTGGTTTTGATTTACATTTCTCTAATGGTTTATGCTATGTAGTAGCTTTTCCTGTGTTTTCTGTTTGTTTTTGGCACCACCAGTGTTTAAACTCAGGGCCTCACACTTGCTAGACAGGAGCTCTACCACTTGAGCCAGTCCACCAGCCCTCGGAAGGGTTTTTCAGAGATAGGGTCTTGAGAACTATTTGCCTGGGCTGGCTTCGAACCACGATCCTCCTGATCTCTGCCTCCTGAGTAGCCAGGATTACAGGCGTGAGCCACTGGTACCTGGCCATGTACTCATTTTTAGTTATTATATTTTTACTATGGACCTGGTTCTTTACCCACTTTTAGTTATGTTTTTATTACTGAGCTTGAGTTTTTGTAGCTGGGTGTGGTGGCTCAGGCCTGTGGTCCTAGCTGCTCACTGGGGGCAGAAGGATTAAGGTTCAAGGCCAGTAAGTGGTTCTCCAGACCCCATCTCAACCAACAAAAGCCGGGTAAAGTAGTATGTACCTGTCATCCCAGCTATGCAGGAAGCGTAAATAGAAGGACTTCAGTCCGGGCCTGGCTGGGCATAAGTTAGAGACCCTCCTTGAGAAATAACTAGGGCTGGCAGAGTGGCTACTGGTAGAGCACCTACGTAATAACTGCGAAGCTCTCAACTCAAACTTAAGCACCACAAAAAACAAACAAGTGCTTACACCAGGTGCTGTGGCTCACGGCTGTAATCCCAGCTACTCAAGAGGCAGAGATCAGGAGGATTGAGGTTTGAAGGCAGCCCGGGCAAATAGTTTGCAAGACCCTATCTCGAAAAAAATCCATCACAAAAAAGGGCGGGTGGAGTAGCTCAAGGTGAAGGCCCTGAGTTCAAACCCCAATACTGTAAAAAAAAAAAAAAGTTTGTCCTAGACATTAAACTCTCATCAGATAATATGATTTGCAAACATTTTTTCCCATTCTATATGCTATTTTTTTCACCATCTTCATGGTGTCCTTGGAGGCAGAAAAGTTAAGTAATGCTACTTTAAACATATTTTTAATTTTTATGATGAATAATGTGTGCATGACTCAAAATTCCAAAGATTCAAGGAGTGTAGAGTGAATTGAAGCTCTCTCAGCCTGCCCCAAGTACTCCTATCTCCCTACCCTAGAAGCAACCCCCACCTGTGGCGAGATGTCATCTCACTTATTTATTTATTTATTTATTTCTCTATTGGCAGCACTGGGGTTTGAACTCGGGGGCTTCACACTTGCTAGGCAGGTGCTCTACCAGCCCCAGTCATCTCTGTTTTAATTATTACATAACTTTGCTGTTTAGTTAATGTAATTCAGTGCATTGTCCCAATTGGGAGACTCACTGTGTGTCTCTGACAAGTTACTCACCCTCCCTGGGTCTGTGTGCTTTCATTTATAAACCAAGATGGTGAACCCTGCATAGGTTGATTGCAAGAACGTTTATGACCTAAATGATAACAATAATACCTATCATTTATGGGGGGTTTTCTCGTGCAGGCACTGTAGTGTGTTAGCCTTTTGCCCTTTCGAGAACCCTAACAAGTCTCTTCAATTTCTCTTCAAAGAGCTCTGAGGACCAGAGTGGTTAAATAACCTGCCCAAGATCACACAGTAACTCAGTCTTTTCTATTTTAAGTTTTAATTAACATCAATCTTGATTTTTTATTTTTTGTTCCTTTGTCTTTTTTTTCCTCTTTTCACTTTTTTTTTTTTTTAATCCCTTTTACATTTACTCACATATGTATACACTGTTTGGGCCACCTCGCCCCCCCACCCCTTCCTTTGTTTTGAGAAGGGGGTCTCTCTGTGTTGCCCAGATTGGTCTTGAACTATTGAGCTCAACTTATCCTCCAGCCTCCAGAGTAGTTTTTTCTTTTTTCGGGGGGGAGGCAGGGGAGAGGGACAGGGCCTAAGGACTTAACAGCTGGGGTAAGGGCCAAGTCTAGTGTCCTTCATCTGTCTTCATTACAGGGTGCATGTTGTTGGGGTGTGCTTTCCTAAAGGGTCCAGAGCAACCTAAACGCTGGAGTTGACATCCTTGCTTAAGGTCCATCCCTGAGTCCTGGTTTCCTCCAATGTAGGAAGGAGCTTGTAGAAGTCAAGTTCCTTGCTCTTTCTCAGGCCTGAGATGAGGATTAGACGAACACACTGCCCTCTCCCAGGACTTTCCTTGGCTTTTCTGGATCAGACTATTCATGGTGGAAAAGCGCCCTGGGGAAACTGAGTCCCCGCCATTCTGGCGGACTGGGCGGGGCTTAGACCATAAGCGCTAAGGCCTGAGCCGCAGTGTAAGTGCCGACGGACATCGGAGCCCAGCAGCGACACCTGGGATTTGTATCCTATAGGGCTTCAGGAGGCGAATGGATGGGCCGGAGGTTTAAGGAAGAAGGGTTGCTATCCTTAGAGCAAAGTTCCCGGGTTCCACCCTCATCGGGACCCACGTGGCCCCTCCCCCTGTCGCTTCCCACCTACTTGGCTGGTTTCGCTGCAAGTCCTGGGGTTCTCATTTCCCCTCTGGGGGCCTCCCGGGTTTCCCCTTGAAGCCAAATTATTATTACAAAAGCCAATTCGACCTGTTTGGGTGTTAAAAGGCGCTTCTAATATGTTGCACGAAAAAAGGAATAAAGTGTGCGTTTAGGGGTGGGGTGGGGACGTTGCTTTGAAGTCAGAGAACCCACCGGGTAAATTTCATGCAGGCCAGCAGTAGTTTCCTGCCTGTAAGATGGTCATGATAATAACAACGACAAATAATACTAAGAACAACGGGATTAGACGTTAGCATTGAGGCAAACAGACCCCGCGCAGACCCGGCCATTGCCTAAGCGCCCAATCAATGATGGCAACGAAACTGGGGTTGCCACCATTCTGCATTGATCGGATGAATGCGGAAGGGGAAACTGAGGCCCGGAGTTCGCCCCTCCCTCCCCAGGCAGCTGATCGCACCCAGACAGCCCTCCCCGGGCGCCTACTGTGTGCAGAAAACAGCAGGCCTGGCCCGGGTCACGCTGTTCTCACCGCTTGTCCCCTCCTTCCCCTCCCCCTTCCCCGCTAGACCTCTCCCACGACCGGGGAGGAAGTGGGAGAAATGGACAGGGAAAAAAAAGTTGGGTTGAGCCAACGACAGCCCCCTCCCCACCTCCGTCCCTTCCCAAGCCACGCAAGATCTTTGCGGGAACGGCCTGCAAGGACCCAGGCGTCCGGGGCCGGGTCCCCCCCCTCACCCCCACGTCCCGCCCAGCGGCCCGCAGCTGGGTGGGGGAACTTGGAAAGCCGGGAAAACAACCACCCTCCCCGCCCCTCGCCAACCCCTTCCCCCGCTACGCCCCTGGCGCAGCGGGTGGAGGCGACTCCTTTATATAATCGCGGGAGGGCAGGTTGGCTGTTTCATTGAGGGACCCGGGAGCCCGGCGCACCCGCGCCGTCATTGCAACGCCCGCCCCCAGGTTCTTTCCACCGGCCGGGCAAACTGAGGCCTGGGGAGCACAGGCGCCTGGGCCGAGGGGTCCCCACCCGCTCACCCTCGATCCACCCCCCGCTGCCCGGGCAGCGCGACCCACGCCCGCGTCGGTCCTCGCAGTGCGCACGGCGCTCCCCGCCCCCGCTGCCATCCTGCCACGCCCCAGGCGTCGGGGGCACAGCCCGCGCCCCCCCGCACCCCGCCCTGCGCAGAGGCTGGGGGCCTGTTTATCTGGAGGCCCCCACCCCCTGCACCCGGGGGGCCCACTCCCCCCGCGCCCCGGAGAGCTCTGGGGCCAGATAAGCTGGCAAGCTGGCACTGCGCCGCGCGGCGGGGCGGAGAGGTCAGAGGCGGGGGGGGCGCGCCGGGGCGGGCTGGACCCCCCCCCAACTTGCCAAAACCTAATAACAGCCCGGTCTTCCCGGCGCAGCGGGCGAAGCCCCACGGGAGGGCAGGGACGTGGCAAGAGCGGACCTGCCGAGCCTGTTCTGGCCTCAGAGGCCGGGTGGGGGGGCGGGCTGGGCGTGGGGGGGCCGGCGGCTGCGGCACCTTTAAGACAAGGGAGGACCCCTCTTGCCCTCGGAGAAACCAGGAAGGGAGTCGCGAGCATCATACGGGGCTTTGGCTGTACTGTACAGTTACTGTAGGGGCAGTGACGCCGCCGCCGGAGCGAGGAGCGACGCGGGCACAGCGAGCCAGGGCAGCGCGAGCGCCGCGGACCCCGCAGGCGAGCGGCTGAGGGCGCCCAGTCCCGACTCCGGGCCCCGGCCCCGCGCGCCCCGGCCCGGCCCGGCCCCGGCCCGGCCCCGCGAGGTAAGTCAGCGCCCGGCGCGGCCCGGGACCCGGGGTGCAGGGCGGGGACGGGCCGGGGGCGCTGTGCCCACCCTGCGCTCACGGCCAAGGGAGACCCGGGGACGTCCCCCAAGTTTCCGAGGAGGGGGTGCTTGGCAGCTACCCAGAGGCTGGAGACGTCCCGGATCCCGAGCGCGGGGAGGGGGCGCCGCCCGGGAGAGGGGATTGGGGGCGAAGTGCATGGGCTCGTGCGTCTGCCCCCCCACTCCCCAACACCCGGTTGCTTGGCTTTTCGGGGGCTCCCAGGAGCGCGGGGAGAGGGGGAGGGGAAGCGGGGCTGCATTGAGGGTGGGGGGGACCCGGCCTGAGAATATAGGGGGGCGCGTCGCGTGCTAAGTTTGCAGCCGGGTACGGGGGACGCTCTTGCCCGCCGGGGGGCCTATTCGGTGCTGCGTGCATACGTTGGAGTTGGCCAGTATGGAGCTCCATGGGGGATGGGGGGGAGGGGGCTGAAAAAACAGGGAGGGGGGCTTTGCAAAGGAGGGAAGGGGTGGGGTGTCCCGGTGAGCGGGCGGGGCCGCGCGGCCCTCTGGGCGCCGTAGTTCCCTCGTCGCTCTTGGTGGGCAGGTGACAGGCGGCGCGCACTTCAAGTCCCAGGGTACCCCGCGCTGGTGGCCCGCCGCTGCCCGAGGGGAGGGGCGGGACGGTTTGCCAATGGGCGCGCGCGACGGCGCGGCGCGGCGCGGGGGCGGGGCCTAAGCGGGGGCGGGGTCTGTGCGGCTCCTTCGCCGGGGGCCGGTGGCGGTCCCGGCTTCCGGCTGCGCGGCCGCGGGCCTCCCCCCTCCCCGTCCGGGCCCCTCCCGCCTGTTGTGTAACTGTCCCCGGCCCCTCGCCCCGGGGGAGGGGGTCCCCCTCCAGGAGGGCGCTCCCCGGGGAGGGCGGCGGCCCGCCAGCGGCGAGGCGCAGGCGAGCTCGGGGATGCGCGGCCTGGCGCGGGCCGGGTCGGGCGCGGGGGAGGCGACGGGCGGGCGGACCCAGATCCGGGGTAATTTGCATCGCCCTCCCCCCAGCCCGGGTGGGGATTGGCCGCCGGCGGCGGGGGGTGGCGCGGGGCCGGGCTCACTGCCGCCTCCCGGCCTCGGAGCAGCCAGCCAGCCGCAGCCGCCGCCGCCGGGGCCGGGCCCCTCGCGCTGCCCGGGAAAGAGGTAGGAGCCGCGCGGCGGCCGGGGCGCGGGGGCCGGGGAGGGGGCACTGGCCGCGGGGATGGCTACTTCCTGTCCTCGGCCTGGTTCCTCGCCTTGCCCGCGCTGCCCCGGCTACGGGGCACCCCCGGCCCCCGCCCGCGCCCCCGGAGCGCGTGACCCCGTCTCCTCTGGCCGGACCCCCCTTCCCCTGACGCCACCACCACGTGCGAGCTGGGCGTCCGGGTCGGTGGGGCACGCGGTGGGGCAGGTCCCCTCCCCCTTCCTACCCCCTCCCCCAGTCCGGGGTGGGACCTGGCCGGGGGCTGAGCCGCGCGCTGGAGCCGGTGTCCCCGAGGCCCAGGCCTCTGCGGGTCTGAGAGGCACTACCCGGCCGCTGGGGAGCGCGGGCCGCAGGAGGACGGTGCTGTCCAGCCAGGCCCAGCACCCAGTAGTGTCCACTAAGTGTCGGAGGAATGCAGTCCGGAGTTGGCGGGGTGGCACCCGCAGACCGGCAGGCAGCTCTTTTATGCCCCTAGCCAACGGGCGGAAGTGAGAGCGGCGTCAATGCCTCTTCCCCCAGCTGGCCCACCTGGCTCACCCATGGGTGGCGGGGTTGGCTGGCCTGCATCCCCCTCCTCTTCCCTGCCAGCTGCCTCCCTGAGAGGGCGACCGGGACTCCCATGTCAGCCCCTCCACGGGCCAGGGCGTAACCCGGAGTGGCCTCCCACACTGGGTGTGTGTGTGTGGGGGGACCTCCGTGCCACCAGCAGATCACTTCCTATTGGCAGGGCTAGGTTAGGAGAGGTCCTCCTTCCCAACCCAGGCTGGGACAGGGACCCAGCCTCTGCCTTGCTGCTGCTGCTTAGAGCATAGGGCTCTAGACTGGGGACATTTGCCCCCAATGCCACCCCCTCAGGGTTCTACACATTGGGCCTGGCCGGGCCTGGCACCTCTCAACTGGGCTCGGGTCTCTGTTTACTGCCAGGCATCGCTGTGGTGACTGGGTGACTGGGAGCCTGGGGGAGGGGGGGGGCGGCAGCCATGGCTGGAAAAGGGAGGCCTCATTCAGGAAAGAGGAGCCAACGAGGACACTGAAATTTTAATTCGCTGGTCACTTTGGGGGGGTATTTATTATTCAGTTCTGATTGGCTATAGGGTGGCCAGTCAGTACCTGGCCAGGCCTGGGAACCAGGCACCTCTCAGCAGAGAGGTACTGCAGGGAGCTGATGAATCCTTTGCGCTATGGGGGAGACTGAGGCCTGCAGAGGCAGAGCCAGGGAGGATGGTCCTGGGGCAGTAGCGTGTCCTTGGTGGCTTTGGGGTTCTGTTCTTTTTCTTGAGGCTGGCAGACCCGTAGCTGGGTCCACCTGGTGGCAGTCCTTGTTGCCATAGGAGGAAACCGAGGCCTGGAGGGGAGGTCCCACGTGAGTCCAGAGCTAAGGATGGGTTGGGCCAGGGAAGCTGAGAGCCGCCCAAGGTCACCCAGCTGGAGCTGGGTCTGACTCCCGGGTGGTCCTGCTTTCCAGAGACCTCTGGTGTCCTGGCCCAGGGGTACCTGCTCGCCTGTGTCTTCCAGGAGAGCCAGAGGTGGCTTTCCTCTGTTCGCACCTGTCATAAATGGACAAGTGAGTGGAGTGCCACTGGGGCTCTGCCCAAAGATGACATTGAGCTCAGAGAGGGCCAGCAAGGCTCCAAGGTCACACAGCACAAGCCCCAGTCCTCCTCCCTCCCAGCCTTGCTCAGTGGGCACTTTGTGTGCATTTGTGGCCCCGTCCCACCCCTGCCAAGCCATAATCCCACAATCCTGCACCTGCCTTCTCCCCCTCCCCCGCCCCTAGTCAGGCAGGGATCTGAGTTTTACGACTCATTATACCAGCAGGGACAGAGGTCACCTCCCCTGAGCCAAGACTCAGGGCCACCCCTCTGGAGCAGAGCTGTCCTAAGGAAGGGGACACATGGTGTTTGGAACGTGGTCCACTTGCTCTGTGACCTTGGACAAACCCCCTGGATCCCAAGCATTGTCCTCTTGATCACAGGGTTGTCTTAGGGCTTCCCAGGAGGTCCCTCTGGATTCCCTCCTTTATTCCTGTATGGAGAAGTGCCTGCTCAGCTCATGGCACCCATATCTGCTGGGTGTTGGGTTGCCAGCCACCTGAGGCCCCCCTGTCCCTCACAGTTAGCCTCATAGACCATAAGTTGCCCTGGGCAGCAGGGCTTCTCTCCACCTGAGGCCCACCCAGGGCCTCTCTGCCTCACTTCCCTCTCTGCCTCCCTCAGTTTCTCGCCAGTTCATCCTCTGTCATCCCATGCTTTACTTAGCATCAGAGCGGGTGTTGAGTGACTATCAGCTGGCAGGGCCTGGTCACAGCTCCTTGTGCACCCCTGTCCTGGAGACCTGAGGGGTCAGGGCCATCACCCTGAGTTTACAGATGGACTTCAGCCCTGCCCTTCCTGCCCGTTGTCATTGGGTGACCTCCCTTCTCTGGGCCATCACAGAGCAGTTCTGAGGAGCTATGAAAAATGGTCCTCTTCAGCCCCACTCAGGGTGGGGGACTGGTCCCCTGCTGCTCCCTCAGGCTATGTGTTGGGGGAGGGGAAGAAAGGCACCCTGGGAAGACTAGTTAGGCAGGACTAGTCAGTTAGGCAGCCTGTATTCAAATTCCAGCTTTGCTCTGTGACCCTGGGCAAGTTGCTTCCCCTCTCTGAGCCTGTTTTCCATCTGTAGAACAGGCATTGGTTGCAGACCCTGCGTCCTAGAGCCAGGATTGTCAGTGTGTGTCATACTTCTGTTGGGATGACTGAAACCAGGCTCCCCACCCCCTGCTCTGGTGAGGAGCGGCCCCCTGCCTGAGGCAGAGCACCGCAGTGCAGAAGGTGCCCTGTTCAGAACGTGGTGCTGGTGAGGAGCGTGGCCAGAGGACCGGCCCCTCCATCTGTCCCCCCAGCAGGCTGAGGACGGCCACTCAGTGGAAGTGTCCCCACCCACGCCTTTCTGGTTTGACTGGAAAACAGGCCCGGTCCCACCTCCCGCCAGGATGTCTGCCAGGGATCTGGCTGGATCCTGCAGGCGCAGGCTGCCTGGGGCCCCAGAGGCCCCTTCATCTTGGGGGCTTCGTGCTGAGCCCTCCACCTGCCCAGGCTGGGGTTGGGGGTGTTGTAGGTGACTCCAGGTGTCAAGCAGATTCCCCCTTCCCCCCCCAGGTCCAGTGGCTTCTCATGGGCATCCTGGATGGCAGGTGCAGCATGGCTCGGCAGTGGACAGGGATGAGGTTTTGTGGAGTCTGCCCTTGCTTACCCCCGGTGGCAGGAAGCTCCTTCCCTCCACTCGTGGATGGCTCAAGCTTCCTCTTGGAACCCAGCCGTGGTCTAGGGTTTGGGCTTCCTGGCCATGACGGCACGCGTGGGAACAGGGTGGGCCTTGGCCCCACCCTGGAGTTGGGGGTCAGATGGAATCCCCAGACCTCCTTGTCCCTGCCCCCACACATGAACACTTCCCATTGGGCCTGCTGCCTTCCTGCCTCTGGCCCTTTAAGGCCTGGACAGGAAGCCCCTCCCCATTTAGGGCAATAAATGGACATGTAAAATGGCCGAGGTGCTCCAGGCCTGGCCGAGGAAGGCCTGCCTGCCACTTAAGAGGCCAGGTGGGCAGGGGGCAGACTGGCACCACTGGCACTGCTGGTGGCCTCAGAGTGGGACACCACATTCCTGTCCCATTAAACTCAGGCCGGGGACTGGGCCAGGCCGGGATTGGCACCGGCTCAGGGTGGGGTAACAAGTTAGGACTAACCTTGCAACATAGGCCGCGGGTCTGGGAAGGGGTGGGGGCTGCTGGGTGGGGGCCTGGCAGCTGCACCTGTGAACTAAGCTTGCTGTGTGACCTCAGGCTGGCTGCCCACCCTCTCTGGGCCTGGTTTTACCATCTAGTTTCCTTCAGGGTCTTCACCACCCATTTCTTGGCACATGGGTGGGGAGTGGGACTGCTTCCTGAAATAACCTTCAGAACTGAAGTTCAGACCTCCTCCATTCACAAGGGGAATGGTGGACAGTCTGTCTGGGCCTTTTGGGGACCTTCTGAGGAACTCTGCCCTTGTGTGCGTCCTGGATGGAGGGGCTGGTTCCCACTGTCGGAGCACCTGGGAAGCTAAGGCCCTTCGTCTCCTCACGTCCGCTGCAGTAGCCTCGCCAGGAAGGATGAGGCCTCTCTTCTCCCTGGGAGAGAGCTGCCCTGCCCTCGAAGTGCCCCTCAGGAGTGTGGTAGAGGCAGGGAGCTGCCCCTGCTCCTTCCTGGCGGTGTTGGGTGGGCCACACATTGAAAGTGACCTTGGGAAGGCCCCTGGCTCCCTTCCCTAGCTTCAGTGCAGCCCCACCAGCTCCCCTCACCCATCTCTAGCCTAGCTCAGATCTCCCCTGTGCCTGGCCACTCTTCCCTGGTCCTGGGTACCTTCCTGCCCCCTAACCTCACTTGTAGTCCCCAGACACATCCCCAGCAGCCAAAGGGTGGGGGTGGTGCTCTGCTCAAGTGGGAGAGCCTGAGTCTGGCCCTGGCTCTGGCCCTGGCCCTGTATGCTGTGTGACCTTGACTGGGTCTCGTTACCTCTCTGAGCTCATTCAGAGAACTGGGGAGAATGAAATGAGGCATTGGGTTGGTTAGTTCCTGAAAGTTTGGTGATGCAGGGGACAGCCAAAGTGAGGCCTGGGTTCTGTTGCTTTGGGAATAAGCTACAGCAAGTGACCCTAGGTTAGATGAGAGGTGGGTCTGGCAGACAGAACAGTCATGCCCTGGTGGTGGGTGTGTCTGTCAGGTGGGTGGGGCTGGGTGTGAGCTGGTGCCTTGGTTCATCTGGGATTTGCTGCACCCTGTACCCCTACTGTGTGTGGCTGGGCCCTGGGGAGGAAGGTGCCCCACCTCTAGCATTGGAGGAGCTGCCGGGGCCTGCCCCTTGCCAAACCTTTCCCAGAAATCCCATGGAAGAGAGCATGCAAGAGGAGCCATCATGAAAACTGGGGCCCTAGCCTGGGTGAGGGGGCTTCCTGGTCCCTCCTCCCATCAGTGAGCAGCAGCCTGTGCACAGTGGGTCTGCAGCATGCCCTGAGGGGTTCTGACTGCCCTGGTCGTCTTCCCCCATTGGAAACGGTGTTGGGCCCTTCCTCTCAGGAGAGGCCTCTGAGAGGCCCAGGTGGGGCCTTGGCCCAGGGTGGGGCAGGCAGGTGGTTCTTGTTCCTGGAGAGAGGGCTAGTCGGTGTCTGCCTCTGAGTTGAATCCCCAGGGCCTGGGACAGGCAGCAGCTGAGGGCAGGTGGGGGAGCCAGCCTTGCTGGGTGCCCTCGGCTAGGACTCTGAACACTCCCACCTTTTTTTTTTTGACAGCACGGGGGCTTGAGCTCAGGGCCTGAACATTCGCTAGGCAGGCGCTGTGCCACTTGAGCCCATCTCCAACCCAACCCTGGCTCTTCTGAGCCTTGATTTCTCACTTGTCAGATGGGGGCCACCCATTTGACAGACAAGTCATGGGACTTTTTTTGGCCAGAGAATCTCTGGTGATATTTGGGGGAACACAGGTTCCCGAGAGGGAGGAAGCAGAAGCACGGGTTCCCAGGCCTAGCTAGGACCTGTGGCCTGGAGCCCAGGTATCTTTGCACTTAAGACAGGGCGGAGGCAGCCCCTGGCCCTGGCGCTGGGCGCCTGGTGGGGAGCCAGGGTGGTGGTGGCGGAGGGGGTGGAGTTGCCACCATGAGGGCTGAGTCACTTGGACCATTTCAGGTCCCAAACTCTGGACCCTGGAGACACTGCTTAGCCATTCCCGAGGGAGCCCCGGGTCACCTAGGGGGAGGACAGCCCAGCAGGGTGGAGTGGCCACCTTGGGGCTGGGGGGCTGGGGAGGTGTGCGGGCTGTGGCAGGAGGGCCAGGGCTTGTCTGATCCTGAGCCCCATCTGCCCACATGCTCCCTGGGGCTGGGGCCAGACGGCAGATGGTGGCAGGGGGTGGGAGCCCCCAACGGGGTTCCTCCAAGGTCCAAGGCTTCCCAGCCATGCCTGGCATAGCCCCCCCCCCCGACACCAGTCCCCCGTGCCCCACTCCCAGCAGCCACATCTGAGCCTCCCCTCCCCACTGAGGTGGAGCAGGGAAAGCCAAGCAGCTGGTGCAGTGAGGAGAGGGTGGGTGCTTAGAGGCAGGGGCTGCACAAAGGCTTCTGTGTCATGTTGGCTGCAAGACCCCACTCCAAGGCCACTGGCTGGGGAGAGGACAGCACAGGCCTCCCTTGCTGGCATGAGTCAGGCCAGGCTACTTGGTTGGGGACAGGAGAGTCCCATATCCTCAGGAGGTTCAGAACGGCCAGCCCATGCTTGTCCCCAGGGTTGATGCCCGGGGTCCCCAGATGGGTCAGAGAGTGGGAGGAATGTGGGTTGTGTTGGGTGGTGAGGGGCGGCCGGCTCCCAGGAGAGGGCGGAGGATGGGGACAGCAGCCAGAGGGTTGCACAAGCCGAGTGGGCGGGTGAGTCAGCCCGGGGGACTGTAGAAAGGAGGGTGGGGGAGAGGGACAGGGCAGGCAGGATCCCCCTACCCACGGCCAGAGACCCTTGCCCATCTGACAGGTGTAGACTAAGGCCCAGGCCTTGTCCTGAGCTGAGGGGCACAGTGGGGGAACAGAGGCATGGAGGGGGCCACCAGGAGGGCTTTGGGCAATAGAGGTGGACAGGAGGCTCTGGGACCCGCCTTGGGGGACTCGGCTTGGGCGGTGGCCTGGTTTCCCCTATATTACTCACTGTCAGGGCTGAGCCCGTCCTGGGGGCTCGGGCAGGAAGAGGTTTGTTAGGCAGAGCTGTTACCGGCCTGCCCCAGCAGGGCACACCCACGAGCTCTTGACCCCACCAGGTCACAGTCCTGGGTCCCCAGGGCTCATCAGCCTTGCTCCTTCCTGCCGACTCAGATCTCCCTCCCCAGGGGAATCGCAGGGGAATCGCGGCTGACCATCAGGCAGGAGCAGGGCCCCAGCTCTCAGAGGTCCCTGGGTTTGCACTCCGGCACAGCTCCGCCCTCCATGGGCCATGGCAGGTGCCTTCCTTCTCCCAACCTGATTGCTTACCTCCCTTGGACAGGGTGCCACTGTGGCCTGCCTTGGAGTAGGTGCTTTGTGGGTGTCCATGTGTTCAGATAAGCCAGAAAACAACTTCCAGTTACCCCTTCGACAGGTGTTGGGCCTCCTGGGGAGGGAGGGGGAAGGGTCAGGGCAGGGGCGCCTGTGTTTCTCTCCAGCACCCACGGTGGGTTTTGACAGTATGAGCACGTCAGTCAGACTGCTCATACAGCCTCATATCCGCCATGCCCACCTGGAGAAACAGGCTGGGAGAAGGCAGAAGTACCCTTGAACTGAGCTGGAGAAACTGAGGCTGGGAAGGCAGGACATCTGACTGCCCTCTTGCCCCAGCTGGGGGTGGGGGTGAGACGTAGCTGGTACTGTGTTCTGAGGGTCTTGAGCCTGATTGATGGGCATGGGACCCCCTCCACTTACAAATGTCCCCTTCCTCTCCGCTGCTGCAGGTCTTGGCACGGAAGATGGCCGGCGGCGTGGACGGCCCCATTGGGATCCCGTTCCCCGACCACAGCAGCGACATCCTGAGTGGATTGAATGAGCAGCGGACGCAGGGCCTGCTGTGCGACGTGGTGATCCTGGTGGAGGGCCGTGAGTTCCCCACGCACCGTTCGGTGCTGGCGGCCTGCAGCCAGTACTTCAAGAAGTTGTTCACGTCGGGCGCTGTGGTGGACCAGCAGAACGTGTACGAGATTGACTTTGTCAGCGCTGAGGCGCTCACGGCGCTCATGGACTTCGCCTACACCGCCACGCTCACTGTCAGCACGGCCAATGTGGGCGACATCCTCAGTGCCGCCCGCCTGCTGGAGATCCCTGCCGTGAGCCACGTGTGTGCCGACCTGCTGGACCGGCAGATCCTGGCGACTGATGCGGGTGACACAGGGCAGCTGGACCTGGTGGATCAAATTGACCAGCGCAACCTCCTGCGGGCCAAGGAGTACCTGGAGTTTTTCCAGAGTAACCCCATGAACAGCCTGCCCCCTGCTGCCACCGCCGCCACCTTCCCCTGGTCCGCCTTTGGTGCTCCCGACGATGACCTGGATGCCACCAAGGAGGCTGTGGCTGCTGCCGTGGCCGCCGTGGCTGCAGGTGATTGCAACGGCTTGGACTTCTATGGGCCAGGGCCCCCAGCTGAGCGGCCCCCAGCGGGGGATGGGGACGAGGGTGACAGCAATCCAGGCCTGTGGCCAGAGCGGGATGAGGACGCCCCCACTGGGGGTCTCTTTCCGCCCCCAGTGGCCCCTCCAGCTGCCACACAGAATGGCCATTATGGCCGGGCTGGGGAGGAGGAGGCGGCCTCTCTGTCCGAGGCGGCTCCCGAGCCAAGCGACTCGCCGGGCTTCTTGTCGGGTGCCGCCGAGGGCGAGGATGGGGATGCGGCCGATGTGGACGGGCTGGCGGCCAGCACACTGCTGCAACAGATGATGTCGTCAGTGGGCCGGGCAGGGGCCCTGGCAGCAGGGGACAGCGATGAGGAGTCACGGGCGGATGACAAGGGCGTCATGGACTACTACCTGAAGTACTTCAGCGGCGCACATGAGGGCGACGTGTATCCCGCCTGGTCTCAGAAGGGGGAGAAGAAGATCCGCGCCAAGGCCTTCCAGAAGTGCCCCATCTGCGAGAAGGTCATCCAGGGCGCCGGCAAGCTGCCGCGGCACATCCGCACCCACACGGGCGAGAAGCCCTACGAGTGCAACATCTGCAAGGTCCGCTTCACCAGGTGAGCACCAGGGCTGCGAGCATCAGCGTCCTCCCACCACGAGTGGCCCTCTGCCCTCCCCTCCCTCTCCCATTCAGGGGGTCCTCTTGTGTGCCTCTCCGAGCGTTGTCTGCCAGGGGGGAGCTGGGGAGGGGGCAGGGGTGGACAGCCTAGCAGGGAACAGCTGGGGCAGAAGCCAGGTGACCCATCAGAGACAGTATGAGCTTCTCAGAGGCGTGTGCTCTTCTGTTCTCAGTTGCCCTTCCGCTTTTTGGGGTGCTTCTCTGCGTGGAAGGAGAATTCTTAATGTTTTGCTTTGGGAGCAGAGACAGACGCTTACGAAGTGTTGAACAGGTGGTGGGCTTTACTTAGCCACTACTTACTAGGTTCCTGCTGTGTGCGTGCACCCAGGCAGTGGAGAGACAGGCCAGAATCCCTGCAGGCCTCCCTGACACATTTGAGACCTGAAAGAGGTGAAGGAGGGAGCCATGGGAAAGGGTGTTGCAGCCAGAACAGCTCGTGCAAAGGCCCTGAGGCTGGTTAGCTTGGGGGATCTGCGGGGCCAGTGGGGGCGGAAAGGCCTCGGAGGGAGCCATGGGCTTTGCCCTGGAGCTAGAGGAGTTCAAGGCCAGGCTGGAGATAGTTTGCGATTGGGTCTTAGGAGTCCAGAGGTGGCTGGCTAGGCTGTGTGGACCCAGGGCGGGCCAGAGCAGTGGGGGTGCTGGCAGGCAGGGACCCAGCCAGGCTGGGTGACTCAGCGTCACCCCTTGCCCCCCACCCCCCTGCCCTGGGGTTCCCCCAGCCACGCCTACTGAGGCTGAAGAAAGAGGCCATTGTCCCAGCTTCCCGGTCCCACCCTGCAGGGCAGGAACCTGGGGCTGGCCCCTTCCCCAGCACCCCAGCCCCCTCCCCAGCAGGCAGGAGAGGTGGGTGCGGCCTGGACTCCAGTGCCCAGGAGTGCCAGGTGGGGGCAAAGGGCACCAGCTGGGGGCGGTGTCTGTGATAACCTGCCCCCGACTGTGGAGACTGGGGGCCTGGAAGTCTTAGGGCCTCTCTTCTTTCAGCCAGGGGTCCTGAGGTGCTGCTGGGCCCGCCTTCAGAGGGTCTTTGACTTGGGACTTTCTGGTGGAGGCCTTGGCAGTCTAGAGCCCAAGCCAGGTGCCTGACCTGTCCCGCCCCCCAGGCCCTGGGACACCAGCCCACCTGACCACAGCCTGGGGCTCAGTTTCATTTTGAATTGCCATGTCTTGTAGTCATCCCATACAGCCAGAGCCCATCTGTCTTCCAGTCAGGGAAACTGAGGCACATAGCGGCCTCTTCTCCCCACACACCCAGTTTCTTCCTCTTTGCACCCCTAACCTGGGGCCCCAGCCCCTTCCCCCCCCTCCACCCCCCACCCCCACCTCCTCCAAGCCTGGAGCCCAGGGGCCCCTCTGAGTCACTGCAGCGCATTGAGTAAGCGGGGCCTGTGGCAGCTGGGCTATAATTACCCAGGCCGGGGCTTGGGGTGACGAAACTGGGGCTGCCTTCCACCCCCACCCCTCCTCTCTGTGGCCCCTGGCCTGCTGTGTAACTCCAGGCAAGTCACTTCCCCTCTCTGAGCCTCCAGCATCAGCTGGGGAAGTCCCTGTAGAGTTAGGAAGACTGAGGCCATGCTGTGCCCAGGGACCAGGACACTGTGCCAGCGGGCTTTGCAGGAGTTGTGGGGAAGCAGCCAAGTGCCTGAGGGCTAGCAGCACATCTGGCCAGTCTGGGGAGTTCACTGTGGCCCAACTTCTATTGGCTCAAGGGAAGTAACAAAACTGGGAAGGGGTTGCAAAGTGCTAGGCCCAGGGCAGCAGTGAGCCATGAAAGAGTTAGAGCAAGTAGGACACCAAGTCTGGGTAGTGACAGACCCATGACTGGAGGAGGCAAGTTTTTGGGGGTTGGGAAAATCAAAGGGGCATTGAAGGGTGGGGTTTTGAGAGATGAATAGGAGTTTATCAGTAGGTCAGTTACTAGCCAGGACTCCTGAGTCCCAGGTCTCTGTTCCTCCCCTGTGGATTTTAGAAAGGAATCCATCCCTATCTGTATGGATCAATAGCTGTAATAGGAATATCGCACAAGCCAGTGACGTAATTTAAAACTTTCTGGCAGACACATTAAAAAAAAAAAAAGGAGCAGATGAGAGTGAGTGTAACCAGGTGTACACCCCTGCATTTCAGCATGGGGCGGTAAGCGAGCTGTAAATGAGCAGCTTTGCATTACTGGACTGAGCACATCTCAGTGCAGACCAGCCACTTTTCAAGGGCTCAGGAGCCACATGTGGCCAGTGGCCCCCATGGGATAGAGTAGTACCTGGGCCATTGTCACTCCAAAGTCCTGTAGGTCAAAGGCTGTGCCGGATCCACACTGTCCCTTCACCGGGTGAGATTGGCAGGGAGGGGCCCTGCAGTCACGCCATTCCCTGCTGACTGGAGCTCACAGGCTAGAGCAGGCAGTGAGCAGCAAGAACACACAGGCGACCCAGTTAGATGGTGGTGGCGTGAAGGACCCGGGGGTCTCAGGAGGACCGTCCTAAGAGGATGGTGGGGATCTCGGAAGAAGTGTGGTCCAGGCAGCCAGGATGGCATTGCAAAGGCCGAGGGGTGGCTGTGCCTTGTGTATTGGTGTCAGCCAGCAATCGCTGTGACGGGATGGGAGAAGGCACTGGCTGGGCCTGGACGCCCTAGGTGGGACCAAGATGACCAACTGCCCCAGTCTGCCCAGGATTCAGGGGTTTCTTGGGATGCCAGCCTTCGTGCCTAAAACCAGAACATTCCGTCACCCAAGCTGTCACCAAACACCCCAGTGGCTGCCCCTCTGGGGAGGGCAGGGCCATCTGCCGGCCTTCTTTCTTCTCGGTATTTTCGGCCCCTGGACCAGGGCCTGGCATCCAGCAGGCGCTCAGTAAATAAACGTGGTGTGGGTGAGCACGCCTGCCCCTCGGTGGCCTGGGCCTCACCCTGAGGCACAGCCCTGAAGTGAGCTCAGAGAGGGTGAGCGTTTGCCATGGGCCACGCAGCAAGCTGGCCTTCCAGAGCCTCAGCCCTGCGGTGTCGGGTGGTGGGGCCTGGCAACTCGGGCAGAGGGTGGCTGGGCAGGACTGGGGTCCCTGCTGACCGCACCCCGCCCGCCCACCCGCAGGCAGGACAAGCTGAAGGTGCACATGAGGAAGCACACGGGCGAGAAGCCGTACCTGTGCCAGCAGTGCGGCGCGGCCTTTGCGCACAACTACGACCTGAAGAACCACATGCGCGTGCACACGGGGCTGCGGCCCTACCAGTGCGACAGCTGCTGCAAGACCTTCGTGCGCTCCGACCACCTGCATAGACACCTCAAGAAGGACGGCTGCAATGGCGTCCCATCACGCCGGGGACGCAAGCCGCGCGTCCGCGCCGTGCCGCCTGACCCCACCGCCGGGGCCACCGCGCCGCCCAGCGCCCCTGACGCCCCGCGCAACGGCCAGGAGAAGCACTTTAAGGACGACGACGAGGACGAGGATGAGGCCAGCCCTGATGGCTCAGGCCGCCTGAATGTAGCGGGTGCTGGTGGTGGAGACGACAGCAGCGGTGGCCCCGGGGCACCCACTGCTGAGGGTAGCTTCACAGCCGGACTCGCCTAAAACCAAAAAAGAGAACAGAAACCTGAGACGGAGAGAGAGAAACCATCACCCACCAACCCCAAAACACAAAAAAAGAAAATCTATCTATATACAGATATCTATCTATCTATCTATATATATATATACAGATATATATATATGACGTCACGGAACTAGGACACTGCTTCTCTCAGATTTGTCTCCTTCATGACATCCCTCCTTCCGCAGGGCCCGTTTCCCACCCCCGTGTCCCCCGCCCGGTCCGCCAGGGGGTCTGGGGCTTGGTTTGGGGTCTCGTGGGGCGCCCATTGCGGGCTCTGGGCCCGATCGAAGACCTGGTCCCAGCCCTGGGCCCTGCGCTGGGGTGAGGTGACTCGGGGATGGGCACAGGGCTAGTTCTCGTGTCCTCCCCTGGTTTCTGTGAGTCTTTCAGACAAGACCTTAAATGATCTCTGTCCGCTCTGAGTGGACATTAAAATGGTCCCCGGCCCCCCACTCTCCTTCCTCAGGGCACTTACTAAGGGGGGGGTCTCCCTTCAGTCTCCCCACCGGCCTCCCCTCCTCCCGCCCCGCCTGTGGCCTCGCACCTCTGCACCCCTCGGCCGCTGAGAAACGAATCTATTTATTCCCAGGCCTGGAGAACGGCCAGGACTGGGGGGCTGGGGAGTTCCAGGGTGGCTTCTGGGGCTCCTGCCGCCTTCCTTCACGGCACTTACAACCGGCAGGACCCCAGGACCACCGCTCAGGGCACCTCATCCCTCTCTGTCTGTGTCCCCAGCCCAGGCCACCCCGGACCCACGCATTTGGAGATACCAAACGTCTGTCCCCGAGCCCCTCCCAACTTTTTAAAGCACTTTGTAGATTTTTTTTTCTTTCCTCCTGAAAAACAAAATTTATATAGAGATATATATAGAGATAATATACTTAGAGGAGCGGGCAGCAGCACGGGGTGGACATAGCCAAGATCAGGGTGGGGGGAGCCCAGGGTCCCAGAAGGCAGGGATGGGCAGAGAGCGAGAGGCTGAAGTTCTAATGTCACAAAAGCAATAAAAACCCAGATTCTACAAAATGGAAAGAACGAAAACAAAACAAAAACAGGCAACCAACCACATTGGAAGTCTTGGCACTTTGTAACGGAACGGGTACTTTATCTTAATTCTTAATTTAAAAACATGTTTACAAGTTGCATCCAACTTCTATGAAATATTGAAAAGACAAAAAAAAAAAGAGAGAGAGTAAGAGAGAAAGCAAAAGAAAATTCCTAAAAGTCAATTTATTTTTGTACAAAATAATAAAAAAACCCACCGCAAACAGAATCCACTTTTGTTCCCCGAGGCTGAAGGGGGGTGGCTAGGAAGCCATCAGGGGGGGACCTGAGTCCCAAGGGGCGCATTGAGGGCAACTGTGGGGTCCCTGAGTCTGTGCCAGGTCCACCCTTCTCTCCCGTCCTGCCCCCAGCATTTGGTCTTGACAGATGTCTCAGGCCTGCAAGCCGGCTGTGGCTTCCTCCTTCCTTGTTCCCCAGCTCAGGGATGGGCCCGAGAGAGGGCTGGCCTTCCAACCAGCCAGACCACCCACCCCGCCTCCATGTCCCCCCGCTGTCCCTGTCTCCTACCCTAGGACCTGCCCTCCAACATGGCTGTCCTGCTTGGCCACCAAGGAGCTGCCATCTTGGACGTGCCACCCCCTCCCCATCCAGGGGGCGGCACAGGTCCCCACCTCCGGGGCCTTACACCTTCCCCAGGTACCTCTGTTTTTACTCAAAGGCACTGACTGTAACTGAGGCTGGCACCTGCCTCCCTCCAACCTCTGGCCCCCAAAAAGCCCGGTGTTAACCGAGCCGCAGGCCACGGACAGGGGCCAGGGTTGGGGGGACAATGCTGCCAGATGCCAGGATGCCCCTCCTCCCTGCTGCAGACACAGAGCCTGGTGTGGGACCCTGTAACTAGATGTTTGGTTGAGCTGGGGCCCTTTCTGTTGGTGCCCAGCTGGGGTGGAGGCTGTCCCTGTGTCCCCTACCTTTTCTTTTGTTTTTAAAGGGAAGCTTTTTAGGAAGGCAAATTTTCGTATTGTTTATAATGGGTAGTTTTCCTTTCTCCTTCCCCACCCCCAGCCTGTCAGCCCCCCCCCTCCCCAATGTCTCAGGTTCCCCCTGTGGGGCCGGAGAAGGGGCAGCTGGGGTCAGGTGTGCTGGCCTTGTTTGCACCCCAGTGTCACGCGGTGAGCTGTTTTGGAGAACCAACCATTGAGGCTGTGCACCCAGGCCAGGGGCCACCCCCCACTCCCCAAGAGGTCCCCGAGGGGGGGTGACTTCCCCCACTCCCCCCTCGCAATAAAACCAACTCACAAGTCACATATGTCATCCTGGCCAGTGGGGGCCTCCAGACTTGGGTGACAGGGTCCTTGGGGGCTCTGGTAGGAAAGGGGATGGCACGGCCTGCCGGTCACACTTTTAACACAGACCTCCTCGGGAATTGCACTAAACCCTTGCCCCTAGCTCCGCGCTCAGCTTCCGCCAGCCCTGCCCGCCCACTCTGCCTTAACCGCCAGCCCGTCCCGGGGGCCGCAGCGTCTGCATGGGCCCAGAGCCGGGACCCCCCACCCACCCCAGCCCGGCCCCGCCCCAACTCTGCGCAATCACATACTGTATATAGACGTGGATCGATTTTATTTTTATTCTTTAAATTAAGGTCGTGATAAAGTATTGCCAAAGATACTGCTGAATTTATGCGTTTCAGGAAACAAGATATTTGAGGAGGGTCGTGCTTATTTGGAAGGACACTGCAGAAAGGTTTTTGTTTGGTTGTTTGGGTTTTTTTTTTGTGTTTTCTTTTTTTGGGTTTTTTTTTTTTTTAACTGCCTGGTACAAACAAAAAAAAAAAAAAGAAAAAAAGAAAAACAGTGAAATTGTTATTTCATCACCATGGTGAAGTTGCGTGGATGCTTGTGTGAGCGAGTGTATGCGGGAGAGAGTGAGGTTCAGGCCTGGGGGGGGCATCCAGGCCTGCTCTAGGTAGGGGCTCCAGGGGTCCCGGGGCTGGGGAGGAGCCATGGCGGAGCCCCTGCCTGCAGCTGTCCCCAGTCTGTAGGGCCCCAGAGAGAGGAATGTCCCTGTCTAGAAGCCGCTCCTTGCCTTGCCCCCCCATTCCACCTGCCTTTTGAGATTAAGAGAAAAAAACAAGGCAAAAAAAAAAAATTTTTTTTTTTTTTTTTTTTTTTAACTACAAACCAGTGAATGTAAAATTCCAGACCCTGCCCATCCTGGCACCTGTGTGGGCCTGCGCCTGGTTAGGCCTGAGTGGGCAATACCAAAGTCTGTCCCTTCCTGGGGTGGCCCAGCCAGATCCCCCATGTGGCTGTCTTGTTACTCTGTTTGTACACAGCTGTCCTTTGCTTGCTTGTGTGTGGGGGTCTCCAGTGGGAGAGGAGGGCCCCCAACCTCTCCCCAGGGCCTTTACCTCAAGGGCATGGTCAGAGAAGACTTGGCACTATTTGGGGGGCCCCGTGGGCCATGGCAGGCACAATCACATGGCTGAGGCAGGGGTCTGGATCCCTCTCCCCCACCAGGATGGAGACAGTCCAGGTAGCTGGAATTGTAGGAGGTGACACAGGCTGAAAGGAAAAACAGAAGGAAAAAAAAGAAAAACCAACAAAAAAAAAAAAAAAAGCAAAAATCCTATTTTTTGAGAAAGAAAGATATTTATATTTGCAGTTTTATTTTAAAAAGTTATTTAAGCTGAGGAAGCAGCCTTCCTGGAGGTTGGGGGGGGTTGGCTGGCGCAAGATGGGTCAGGGCCTGGGGGCTCAGCACCCAGCAGCCATAATCTCAGATCAGACGAAGGTCGCACTAAACGTACAGATTTATATGGGGGGAGGGCGGGGAGGACCCTGGCCCAGGCCCAGACATGAGGTGCCTTGGACTTTGGGGGCAGGCCTGGCAAATGGGGGGCAGGGGCGGCGCCCATGGGGTACAGAGCACAGAACAGACATTCCATGGACTGTATTTGAGAGTCTTTATAATAAAAGTGTGGGAGATTTAACAAAAAAAAAAATCAATTGATAAAAATGCACTTTTTGGGGGTGGGGAGGGAGAAGCTTTAAAAGTAATTAAAAAAAGATAAAATGATGAAAAACTAGAAAAAAATTTCCTTTTTCTTGTACATAAAAAAAAAAAAAAACCACTAAACGCAGCCTGTTACGACCGTGGCCGCCTCATTGCCTGATTTTGATGTTCTCGTGTTTTGCTGGGGTGTGGGGGGCAGTGGGAGGAAGGAAGAGCTTGGGGGAGAAGTGGCTGTCTTGAGGGTTTGGGCCCCTCACCCTCTTCACACACCTTGGGGCCAGGGTGGCTGAGCTATGGGTCCCCCAATTCTTCCTGCCTGACCCAGGCAGTTGTTCCCATGCGGGACGTGGACAGGGCCCATCAGGCCCAGGCCAGGCAGGTGTGTGTGTCGGGGTGCCCGTGGGGAAGGAAGGAGCCCAGGGACATCACAGGGAGAAGTCGGTGGGGAGAACCAGCAGGATGGGCCAGCCCTGGGCACCTCCAGCTTCAGGGTCTTGGAAGTCTTGGGTACGGTAGTCTCAGCCCAGCTCTGAGGTCACCAAGGTGCTATTCTGGGCCAGGCCCACTATCCCACTATCGGGGATGGGGAGCCGGTAACCTCAGTCCCCAGGAGGAAGTGGGTCTGTGGCCCACTCACTGGAAGGGGTCATGGACTGCTGGGGTCACCAAACAGCTACTTACAGGCCTCCCTGGGACAGCCCTGGGCTCACTCAACTAGGGTCCACTAGACGTGGGGCTAGCTAGGCCATTTGGGGGCAACCCTGATCCACTTAGACCCTTCACTCTTTCTGGGCTTTTCCTGGTGGGCACAAGGACCTAGCTCCTCTCTGAAAATACCACCCGCAAGCCTAGGGCCCTCCAGAATCCTGTGTCCAACCTGTGGTGGCTGTCATAGGTCAGAAGCAAAGCCAGCTACCTACTTGTTTGGGGCCACCTGACTCCCAGCTCCATGTTCAACACAAGGGACTGTCAATTGCCGGGGGTCTCCTGGCCCACTGAGGTCTGGCTTGGAGACATGTGACAGAGGCCAAGGGGGCTGGGGCCTCTGGATGGGGAGATGGGAAGGAAACAGTTTGCAGCCCCAGCCTCCCACCCCAAATCTACACTGCACAGCTCACCCTCACACTCTGGTTCTTAGTAACAAAGAACTGTGCAGCCCTCACCTATTCTAGAACATTACATCGCACAAAAGCCACTGCATCCTCAGTCTCCCTCTGGAGACTCACAAGCCCCTTGGCCCTCACAAGTCCACTTCCTGTCTCTGGATTCACCTGTTCTGGGCATTTCCTATTGATGAGTCACACGCTGTGGCCTGAAGGTCCCTCTACATTGTAGTGTGTCAGAGCCTTGTCCTGTTCATGGTTGTGTATGCTCCAGCTCCGTTAGTGTCCATTGGTCTGTCCATGGAGTAAGAACTTTTGGAGCCCACTCACAGTGCCTGCACTGTGTGTCACCTTCCCGCCCAGGGTCAGGGGCCTTATTTCTAGCGAATGTCAGCCTCCGACTCTAGCACCCAGTAGGGTGACCTAGCTCCTTGTGGCCAGCACTGGCATCTTCTAATGACCAAGGATGTGGGGCATCTGTGTCCTGCTGGGGACACGGGGACCACCTCAGACTGGCTCTCCTGGTCAAGCTGCCCCCTCACCTAGCCCACCAGCCCAGCAAAGGCTCCTGCCAGGCCCTGATGCTCTAAAGCAAAGCAGGGAAGGGCATGCGCCCCCCCACGCCCAACACAGCACACAGGAAAGCAGATGCCTCAGTGGCTTCACCTTGACCTTTTTATTTCTGTTTTTTAAAAACAATTAAATTAGAATACAAATATTAGAAAACAGCGCCCTTGGCTGCCGTGGCCGGGCCAGGCCGGCGCTCAGCGAGTTCAGTGAGGCCGCGGCCCTCCTGGCCTCCTCCCTTCCTCTACACCTGAACGCTATTGCTTCCGGACTCGGAGAGTTTTGCGTAGAAAGAATCGGCGGGTGGACCGGGAGGGAACAGCACGTGCGACAGTGCGCTTGGTGGGCGCCCCCAGGCCCCCATGGTGGGGCTCAGGGTTGCTGTGATGCGGGGCGGGCTGGAGGGTGGCCCTCTCTGGGGCCGGGCCCTGTTGGAAGAGCGAGGCTCCTGGGGGGGGGAGCATGGGGGAGGGGGATCATCCCCCAGGGATACCCAAGAGCAAGACAGAGGAGAGGAGCCAGCCCACGTGGACCCCAACAAGGCCGTGGCCGCCACCGCTGCTCCGAAGGGAAGTTAACCTGAATTGGAGTTACCGAGGTAGCTGCTAGAAAACCGACCCCCAACGCCACACGGTGCTACACACGGGGCCGCCTCCCGGGGAGGTCCTGGCCCCGCACCCGCCGGGCCTTCTGCACACCAAGTTATTGCACTTTCAAAAAATACAACACATCTGTGGCGAACCCTCCCCGGCCCCCCCACTGCCCGCCCCCCACCCACCCCCTCCATGGCTTCTTAGCTAAAATGCTCGTGGCGCGGCCAGGGCTCCAGGCGAGAATGCGTCTGCAGAGAAAGCAGGGGAGCCGATGCACAGCCAAGTGTGGTGGTTGCAGGCTGGCCTGGCCTGTGCCCACCCCAAGGGTCCCCTGCACCAGCTGGACGACAGTGAGTGGGTGGGCGAGCGATGGGGTGTCCTGGGTCCCACCTGCCCCTTCTTGGGCCCAGCACAGGCTCCGGCCTGGTTTCTGGCTGGGGAGGCAGCTGTGTGGGCGGCTTGCCTGGTTTGTTTCTCTTGTTTTTTTTTGCGTTTTGTGGGGTTTTTTTTTTTTTTTTTTTTTTGTCATTTTACTTTTTTTTAGTCCCCCCGAGGGGAGAGTCCAGAGGTACAGGTGCCGGGAGCCAGGGAAGGGGTGGAGAAAACAAAATGAACCATGAAAGAAAAGCGAAGGCCCACTTCCCTGCGCCCTGGCCCGCCCTCCGGCGTAAGCACCAGGTGACAGTGTCTGTCCAAGGCCGCGGTCAGCAGGCTGGCACCAGGCCCTTCTGGAAGGGGCAGCGGCGCTTGGGCCGGGGACCCTCCTCGTCCTCGTCCTCCTCTTCATCCTCTTCCTCGTCGTCCTCTGAGGATGACGAGCTGTCCAGCGTGAGATCCACCACGTCGGCGCCAGGCTTCCCGTTCTCCACATTGCCCGCCACGCCTGCCCCGCTGCCCACACTGCCGAGCACGCTGCCACTGCCACTGTTCACACTGGGGGGAGGCAGGGGCCCGCCTGCATCTGAGGTGCCTGCGGGCAACAGGGGTGCAGACAGGCACTCAGGATGCTGTGCCCCACAAAATGGGAACTGAAGCAGGCCTTCCCCGCGTGCTTCAGAGCAGTGCCAAGCACACAGCAGGCCCGGGCCTGGGACTCACCGAGCACCAGGATGGGACCTTGGGGGCTGCAACTCTGCTCCTTCTCTGCACGGATTGGGCACCACGAGCCGTCCACCAGGTACTCGATCTCATCAGCGTCCTCACACTCACTCAGGATCTTTGACAGGAGCCTGGGGCGAAGCGGGTGGGCTGACACTGCAGCCAAGTGCCCACTCTCCCCATGTCACCTTCCACCTCTGCAGAACTGGTGTGAGCCGGATACCTGTCTCCTGCCCCACTGGCTACGGAGCCTGCATGTGCACAACCCCAGAAGGCTGGTAGTACCCGGCCATGCAGCCAGGCATACAAAGCAGGCGGCCTGGAAGGCCGCAGCCTCCCTCCACCAGTACTGACAGTAAGAGGTATGAGGCTGGCCAGCCGCAGGCCCCTCTCTCAGGGCATCTAAGGAGGCCCATGCCTACCAGGTGTGGGTGTGGTGGCCACAGGCCCGTGGTACCCGCACCATTTGTTCCCTTATTAAAGCCACACCTGCTCCCAGGTGACCTCATCCACTCAATTTTGGCTGCACAGAGCAGAGGGCTTGTCCTGCTTGGGGCCACCCTCTCAAGGACCAATGGGCCTGCTACCATCCTGAGGTCTCCCCACAAACCCTCCTACCACGAGGGTGCTCTCTGCCTCGGTGCACTTCCCTGCACGAAACTCCTACCTGTCCTCCAAAACCCCACTCTGCAGCTCCTCCTCCCTAAAGGAGGGCTCTCAAGAGGGCCTGGACTGTCCTGGGGATGCTGGCTTCACACAGCTCAGGGCCAGAAAGAGGCGAGGTGGCTTAGCCTTGCACAGTGACATGTGGACCATCAGTCTTCTTCCAAGAGGCCTGGAACGTTGAGCCAGGCCCTGTGCAGGGCACAGCCACCTGCTGAGCCTCAGTAGCCCTAGAGCCAGTCAGAGCTGCTGTGCTGAGCCCAACGCCTGCCCATGGCATGGGAGGAGGCGGCTCTGGGCCACACAGCTGCTGGGCGAGGAACAGAGCAGCCATTCAGGATCAGCCCACGTGCCCAGTCCCAGGGGCCTCCTCACTGCACTGAAGCCTGACAGCATGGGGGCAGAGGCTCAGCCTTTCCAGGCTCACAGCTGGCTGGACCTGGGTGCAAATCACCAGCGCAGTCACTTGCAAGCTCAGGGATCCAAGGCTGCTGGTGGCCTCCCCTGGGCCCATTTCCTTATCAATAAAGCAGGGCAAGCAGAAGGCCAGTCTTCTGGGACAGTGACACACATTGAATGAGGGATCTTCTGGGGAACAGATGTGTGTCCCTGTAGCCAAATCCCACCTTGAGGTTGAAGGACCCCTGCCCTCCCCACGCGCACCTGCAGCCACAGACTCTCTGTGCCCTGACAGGAGGGGCATTGCTGGAGGCTGGCAGGAGCCTTGGGTGCCACGGACAACAGGGCTCAGGTTCTGGAAACTTAAAACTGAGCAGTTTCCCTTCTGGGAAGAGGACTTGTGCCTGATGGCCCATCAGCCACAGGATGGGTACAGCCCTCAGGGCAGGAGGCACCTGGGCAGGTCACACCCATGACTGTTTCCAGGGCAGAGGGTCATTTGCAAAGCTGCTCCCTGACTCCCTCAGTAGCCAGGCCTTCAACTCATGTGGCGAAGACCAAAGTCCACAAGGCCAAGCTCTCACAGCAGCATGATGGTGGCCAAGACCACCCTGAAGCCAAAGCCTAAGCTACACTGCTGCTTCCTGGTTTTTAAAAATTTTTTTCTTAAGCAGTACTGGAATCTGAACTCAGGGCTTTGTGCTTGCTAGACAGGCACTCTACCACTGAACCACTCCTCAGCCCTTCTTGCTTTAGTTATTTTGCAGCTAGGACCTTCCGCTTTTTGCCCATGAGTGGCTTCAGACGATGACCCTCCCACTTCTGCCTCCTGAGTAGCTGGGATTATAGGTGTGTGCCATCACACCCAGCACAACAACACTGGTTTTCTAAAGCACTGTGGCCACAGGCACCATCTGTGTGTTGGGGATGGACCTCCAGGATGGTTAGTGTTTCTAGAAAGAGTTCATAGCCATCTCTCTTCATTCTTCACAGCACACAAGGGCCCAGAGGAGAGGCCCAGAATAGCCCAGCACCAGAGGGGACTCTGGCCCAGCCCTGGGATCCCTACGGGTCCCAACACTCACCCATCAATGATGAGCTGGTCATAAGGAGCTGGTTTGTCACACACCGGGCACATCCAGGTGGGCTTCTTCTCGTTCATCTGCAGGTAGAAGACGGCATCGAAGCACTGCAGGTGGGCACAAGTCTCTGCCCGGCAGGGCACTGACAGCCGCATCTTCACTAGCTGTGAGGAAGGTAGGGGGTGAGTGGAACACCCCACTTGGTCCTGACCCGGGCTTTGGGTCTATCCCATTTTTCCTGTTCCACTCAGTACTATGGTGCTATGGGGCACCACAGGGTCCAAAATGGAGATCAGCCTTGCTCTGGTGCCCTGTGTGACAGGGGTGGTGACGGCGGAAGCTCTGGGCCATGCGTTTCTGGGAGGGGCAGGCACCAGACTACACACCCATTCGACTCACCGGGCAGATGAGGGAGACCCGCACGCCAGTGGTGGCAATCTCGCTGTCAGGGTCTAGACGCAGCTTCTCCTTAACTGTGGGGCGAAGACGGAGGACAGAATCAGAAGGGAGGAGACAGGTAGCCTAGGCCACTGAATTGCGTTCCCTCTTGCACAGCCCACAGCGCACCCCACGTCCTGCCAGGAGAGACACTTCCCTGACCTGGAGACCCAAGGCAGAGCTGCTATGGTGGCCTCCATCATTTCTGACTCCAGCCTGAGTGCACCATGAGCCCAAGAGACAACACCCCCCACCATGGCCGCCACCCCAAAGAGCTACTTTCTGCTGACCTGTAGGACTTTTCTGGAAAGATCTGGATGACACATAACCACCCCAGGGTCATGTGCTGCCACCAAAACCTCCCCAAGGACATAGTGGGGACTCAGACAGGGACTCTAAGTCCCCAGATCTTGGAGCCTCTTACACTGCAGAGGCCAGGAGGACTTAGTGCCTGGCTGCAGCACCCCAAACGCAGCCGTCCAGTGACAAGGACGCACTCCTGTGACAAAGGGGCAGCTGGTTTCCATGTGCTCCATGGGACTCAGAAATGAGGCTCACAATGATGGGCAAAGGCCTAGAGCAAGAGGTGACACCACACAGCCAGGAATGTTCCCCTGTAGTACATCCTGTCCAGACAGCTGAGGATGAGCCCTGCCCAGGGCACAGAGGGGATCTCCACTGTGCGTGTCCCTCCTCCAGAGCCACTCCTCTGCCCAACCTTCCTCTCCTCAGGAAGCTGCAGAGCCACCCCTCACCCCCACCCTGACTAACTGGAAACTGCCTGTGGCCTGTGTCGTGGGTGAGAAGGTGTGGGGACCCAGGCAGCAGTCCGTGCTGGGCTGAGGCACTGGGTCCTACCCTCAGCAGCCTGCACCGTGGTTCAGTAGCGAGTACAACAGGGAGCCACAGGCCCCAGTTCCTACAGAGTGCTGGGCAGGGTCAGGACACAGGTGCACACCTGGCTTCATTGCAAGGCCTCCATGCTGCTTAGGAGGCAGCATGTGCAGCGAGAAGGGCTAGAGGAGACAGGACAGGACTTCTGGGATCCATGAGACCCAACAGTGAAGAGCTGCACTGCTGCTGGCTGTGCAGATGGGGCTGCCTTCACACAGCACCTGACCCCCGCCCAAGAGAGGACACACAGGCCGACTGCAGCCTCAGATGCAGCCTGGGGACAGGGGTGAGACTTTCCACATAGCCCTCAGTGAGGGGCCAGGTTAGTGCCTATGTCCTGTCCAGGTAGGGATCTGAGTGGACCCACCTAGGCTGGAGGGAGCCCCCTTCCCTCAGCCCACAAGCTACTGGGTCCTCATGGGCCCATGCCTAGTCCAGATTTCAAGGTAGCACTGGTCACCCTGACCCGCACCTTTCCACAGGACAGGCTGGCAGTCTACAGTTGGGTTTTGGCCATATGGGGCCGAGAGGCCTGGACATCCCCGACAGCACAGGTCTTGCAAAGAAAATGACCACCAGCTTACCCAGGTAACACGGCTGCCTAGCAGGAATCAGTGAAAACCTGCGGTGCCCTCTGCAGCCCCGGGGCAGATGCGTATGACACTCAGCCATGTCTATCTTGTTTGCCAGCCCGGGTGGGTTGGCAGGTCTTTTTCAAATGCTCTTAAGTATCACTTTTTTTTTAATTTTTTTGTGGTACTGGGGCTTGAACTCAGGGCCTACACCTTGAGCCCTTTTTGTGAAGGGTTTTATTGAGATAGGCTCTTATGAACTATTTACCCGGGGCTGGATTTGAGATCTGATCTCTGCCTCCCAAGTAGTTAGGATTATGGGTGTGAGTCACCAGGGCCCGGCAGAAATTAGGGCAGTTTCCAGCTCCCCTGCCCCTTCCACACACAGCCCCCACCCCCAGAGCTACCAGGGAAGGGCCACGCAGCATGCTCACCCAGCGCCTTGCACAGCTCTGGGTGCTTGACTCCAATCGTCTTCAACCTTTGTAGCAGCTCTGACGAGGTCAACTGCCGCACCAGGTACAACGCCACTGAGTAGCTCTGCGGAGAGGGCCAGGGGGTCAGGGCACCAGGGCCCGGTTGGGGGGGGATGGGGGGGCGGGCACACTCACCTTGCCGTAGTTGCCCCAAGTGACGGTGATGCGGTTAGTGGCCGAGGACAGGTACATGAGGTGGGTGAGGTTGATGGGCCGGCAGGGCCGCTTGGGCTCCACACCGGGCTTGTTGGAGGGGTAATAGCCCTGGGGACAGACAGCTGCTCAGGCCAGCTGCTCCATGCTCCCACACCAAACCCCCAGCCCCTCCATCAGCCTGGGCCCGCACCACAGCAGTGCTGACTCACCGGGACAGAGCAGTAGCTGTGGTTGACCTTGACGGCAATGTTGGGCGGGTACTGGTCCTCCTGAGGGCAGCTGGTGTCTGAGTAACAGATTCTACAATGACAGTAGGGACCATGCAGCCGCTGCAGGAAGGAGGAACGTGGGCAGGACAGGGTGGGGGCAGACGGCGACTGTGTGGGGGAGGGGTGCAGCCAGGACAGAGGACAGGAGCAGGAGAGGGGCTTGGGGAGCACCTGAGGGGCTGCTGACGCAGGAGTGGTCTGGGCTGCAATGCACTGGGAAGGGACAAGAAGGACTGTGGCTACTAGGGGAAGGACACTTGACCCAGGCTCCACCCTGGGTCAGTCACACCTATGCATACCTTAGGACAACCTGCACAGCTTTGACTCCAGGCTGCAGCTCTCTGTGGATGCAGAGTGATCAAAAGGGAGACATGGGTCAGTGAGGCCAGCGCCTAGCTTGCCCTGTTGTGCTGCCAGCTGGGGTGACTGTGGTCTCTTCTAGGACAGCCATGCAGATCAACCCACTACCTCCCCAGGCAGCTGGAGACAGAAGGTGTTGCCTGCAACACACTGTCCTGTTCTGTTCATGTCCCCAGGTAAGGGACTACCAGAAGATGCCAGCCATTCTGGCCCATGCTGGGAAGGGGACATGGCCCTGTGAGGTAGGGGAGTGAGGGAGTGGGCACTGTGGCAGCAGGGCTGAGTGTCCCCGCAGGTGTTGAGTGCTCAGCTACAGGGACACAGCTGGCAGAAGGGGGCTGTGATGATGCTGGGGGTGGGGGCAGCTGCTGAGGTCAGCCAGGTGGTAGGCCCCTGTGGCTACCACACCCAGCACAGCACAGCCTGAGCCCGCACCAGCTTCAAGAGCCAGGTGGAAGGTCCCAGGGGACCTGAACCCCCAGCAGGAGTTCCAGATGGGAACACAGGGCTCTGATGTGGCTCCTACCCCAGCACTGCCATGGACCCGCCAGTGAGTCAGGCAAACAACCTCCTAGATGAATCCAAGGTCTTGGGCACACTAAGCAGGCATAGGCTCAGAAGCCGGCAGCTGGAGGTGCAGTCCAGCCACCTTCCTGTCCTGAATGCTGGTCCTCTCTACAAAATGGGGCACAGGACAGGAGCCTGATGTGAATGGGAAGTGGTGGTAAGGCAGGGTCCTGAGCAGTGCCCGCCACAGAGGGCCCAACAGGAATTTCTGCCTTAGCTAGAGACAAAAGAGCTTCAGAGAGCTCTGGGTGGCTCCTGGCCTCTCACCTGTTTCAGTTTAGTGAGCCTCACCAAGAGTAATCCTGCCCCAAGGGGACCTGGGGTCATTCTTGGGGCCTTATGCAGCTGTCACAACTGAGGAGCCCCTGGCACGGAGTGGGTGGAGGCCAGGGACGATGCTCAGTGCCCTGCCATGCCCAGGACGCCCACAAAAAACAAGCTGCCCAGTGTCCACAGTGCTGAAGGGGAGGGGCTTGTTAGAAGGGGACAAGGAGTTCACCTGTGGGGGGTCAGGGATCAAAAGCAGGACGTACACACAAAGACTGAGCACACAGCCCAATGCACAAGGATAGGTGCACTGAGACCCGAGAAAGGGGTTTGTAGAATGGCCCCGCTCACTGCACTGTGTCTCTGGCCAAGCGTGGGGCCCGTGGGGATGTGGCTAGAGACCCTCTACCCCGAGTCAGTGCTCAGAGCAAGTGCCTAAGCCAGAGGGGTAGCTAGCAGAGGGTCAGAGGCACGCACCTGGAGTTCCGGATCAGCTCCACTTGTCTTGGTGTCAGGGCAAAGATGCACGGGCTTTCCTGAAGTTTTTCGTTATTCTGTGGAACTGAGGACACACAGGGTCAGGGCCATGGCCCGCCACTTCAGACCAGGAAACAGGAACGGGAAGCCAGGGAAGAGCTGGGGGACAGAGGCAAGGCCGCCCAGGGCTAAGCATGAGTGGGAACCCTGGCTCTTTGCTGGGGCTGCTCATAAGGCCTGTGATTCAAGGAACACACTCTTGTCAGGGTTTAGGGGCCCTCAAGGAGCCCAGGTGTCTACACAGGGAGGGTCAAGAGAGAGGAGGAGAGAAGCGCACACCTGGTGGGCCACCGCTGCAGCTGCACACAAGTCCCGCCCTCAAAGCACTCAGGGCCAGCACAGGCAGTAAGGAAGTGAGCCTCCAAGTACACAGAAACAAGAGTCATAGAACTGGCTTCCAGCAGGGACGTGAGGAGTACAGCAGAGGCTAGCAGACACTGCCCAGGGGCCTGGCTCACAACCATGAGACACCAACAAGGTGCAGAGGTCAGGGGAAGTTCTGCAAGGGATGGAGACCATGCTGGTTACAGTCTGGGCCCTTCCCTTTCAGTTATAACTAAGAGCCACAGGAGCCATTAAGAGCCATTTAGCTTTGAACTAAACGAGGGAACACAAGACACAATGTTAGGGTGATGTAGCCAAAGTAGTCCTCAGAGGAAAAATTGTAGCTTTCAAAGCTTGTATTACAAAAAGAAAAGGTTGAACTAGGCATGGTGGTACCTGCCTGTAATCACAGCACTTGGGAAGCTGAGGTAGAAGGATCACAAATTCGAGGTCAATCTGAAACCCTGTCTCATAAAATCGACCAAAAAAACTAAAAATGAAACCAAACCCCCAAAATGCTCAAACTAGGCACTTACCATCTGTATTTCACTAAATGTAAATTATGCCTCACTTAAGAACTTTTAAAACTACAACGTTACTGGAAGCTGGAGACTGAGTACATAGGACTTCAACTTAAAGGCACCCCAGGCTCAGAAGCTGGTGGCTGGCATTCAGATCCAGCCTCAGCAGGGTGTTCCAGGCTGGCCGGGGCCTCACTCGATTGCTGCTTTCCACTCTGGAGCTGGCCCAGGAAGAGGTAGCCGAGGTGACTGCCACACCTGCAGCCACCTCAGGTTTGTTTGTTGAAAGCCCAGTTGGTCCCTGGGCAACAGCAGGCTTAAGAGCCCTGGCTGGGGCCCCAGAGGAAGGGGCCTAACTGGGGAGTGGGGTGCACATGGGCCACCTGCTGACGCGCCCAGATCTGCCCGGGTGCCTGAGGAACAATTATTCTGAAGCGGGGGCCAGGAGAGGCCTGGTAGGACTGACACCTGAGCTGGCCATGGAGGCTGGGTCTAAGTGCCAACACACCCATGAGGCATGGGCTCCTGGGGGGGTAGGGTGGGTCCCCAGTAGGGAGGTCAGAGAGAAAGGCCCCCAAACCCAATCATGCCAGACCAAAAACTTGGGCTCTTTTCCTAAAAGGGTGAGGCTAAGCCTGTGCTGAGCTGCTGCCCTGGGCCCTGCACCCCACCTTCTGCTGTGGCGTCAGCCCCAGGAGCTGCCCACTCTCCCCGGCAACCATCGCAAGATGAGCTGCCACCTCCATCAAGGCCCTGCCCACTGTAAGCTTCTGGAGGGCCTGGACCCCCAAATCCATGCCACCACAGTGGAAGGGAGTGGGGGGCTGTCAGCAGCTGTTCAGAGCCAGAAATGTTCTCAGCCCCTCAGTCCTGCCACCCCTCTGCCCATCCTGGCAGCTCTGCTCTGGAAGCACCCCAGCAGTATCACCCATCAACACCCAGAGTCCCCTGTTGGACTGACTTCCAGGGCTCAGCTCCTCACAAGGGGCAAAAGCTTAGGAGCATCCCACCCCACCGAACTCTCCCCATTGTCACTGGCTGTTCTGCCACATCTCTGCTCAGGGTTAGGCCCCTGGCCTTGCTGACTGTGGGGACGGACCCCTATTTCTGTGGCCTGGATTCCACAGCTGCTACACTGACCTCATCCTCAGGTCTCCCACCAGCCAGGTACATCCTGCCTCAGGACCTTTGCACTCACTGTACCTGCAGATTCTTTTGTTGGGGCCTTATGCCAGGAATGCACTTGTCACTGAGCCACATCCCTGACCCTTGGTTTCTTTTGAGATAGGGTCCTGCTCTACAACCTAGGCTGATCTTGAACTCATGATCCTCCTGCCTATGTCTCTAAGTGCTGGGATTACAGGCATGTACCATGCTCAGCCACCACTGTCTCTTCTTGAACATTCTCTCCATGGCTATCTGTGTGGAAATGCCAGCAGAAGCTATAGCTTCCCATGACACCTAGCTTATAAACTGCATCCCCCTCTCCCAACCTGATTTTCCTGACCTTGACCTGACTGATTTGCCCACATCACTCTTTTGCTGTCCCTCTTTGGGCCACCAAAGCATGAGGTCTAGAAGATGGAGCTCTTCTGTGCTACTCTGGCAAGCACACAGGAACACAGGCATACATATGGGCACATGGAGGCATGAGGCATGGCAGGCATACAGGCCAGGTTAAGGCACAGGCTCTGGGGAACCCACAAAGCCCTTCTGCAGTCACCCTCTGCACCTGTGAGGCCAGGAAGCTGTGGGATGACTGTGGAAGCCCCACCAGGCAGGCAGAGACTGGAATGAGGTACTCAGCCAGGCTGTGGAGAGCATCTAACAGGGGCCTTCACATACACACAGGGCTTCCCAGACCCCCAGGACTAGAGAAAGGGCAGCCACAACTTAGTGGGGACCACCTGGACTCAGGAAACCTGGAACTAGGCCCTGGGCTGAAGGTCACATGATGGGGGTGGCCAGCCAGCCAACTCCACCATGGGCTCTGTCTCCACTTCAGGCTCTGATGCTGTAGTGAAGAATATTTAACATGGGCAGATGCTCAGTATGGGGAAGGAAGAGTATGAAAAGGCAGTCAAGACAGCCCAGGCTCAACACTGAGAGGTGTGGCAGGAACAGGCCAGGGCCCAGGCAGCTCTGGGTGGCTGGGCCATGGCTGCATCTTTGCTGAGGACACATACTCTCTAAGATGGGTATGTGACTTTGCCAAAGGTTACGTGAAAAGCAGATACGAGGAGATTTTGAAAAGGTTATTCAGTGGGGGCTGTCTGCCATCCCACAGGCTCAGGCCAATCTGCAGCAGCTCCTGCCTCTCAAGCCCCGGTCAGACACCGCTCCAGCAGTCAGGATGGAAAGGTCTGTCCCCTCTTCAGGCCAATGCCGCCACGGCTCTGAATACACATGGGTCTCCAATTTGGCCAGGCCATCTGTGGACCTGAGTACTGCTGGCTCTGCCCTGCTCTAATGTGGCTGGGCTTGGACAGAGCCCAGGGTTCAAAGCCCAGCCCCTCAACTTACGGGGCGAGGAAGCACTGAACTAAGCCCTGGCTCATAGCAACAACAGTCGGGGGTTGCTAGGTGGAGTGGGTTAGCATCATGGAGGGAGGGATGAAGAGGTCAGCTTCCACTGTTCTGCCATGGGCCCAGGCTGCTACTCAGCTCTGTGTCCCAAGCTTTTCCCAACCCATCATGGGAGAAGCCAGACCCAGGTGTTAAGAGTACTAATGTGAGCCGGATGCTGGTGACTCACGCCTGTAGTCCTACTACTCAGGAGACAGAGATCAGGTGTATTGTGGTTTGAAGCGAGCCTGGGCAAACAGTTGTTGAGACCCCATCTGGAAAAAACCCATCACAAAAAAGGGCTGGTGGAGTGGCTCCAGGTGTAGGCCCCGAGTTCAAACCCCAGTAGTGAAAAAGAAGAAAGTACTAACGTGTACGCATGTGAACAATGTCAGAAAACAAAGAAAGGAAAAAAAAGGCAGTGTTGGGAGAATGAAACAGTGAAGAAGAGAGGGCTGTGAGGGAGGGCCACTGATACCTAGGGTAGGGTGACCAGGCAGAGAGATAGCCCATGCAAAGGCTCTGAGGCAGGACCAAGCTTCGCAGCAAGTGACAGGGAGGAGGGTACAGGGCAGAGAATCAGGAAAGTGTTTACAGCAGAGGGTGGCAGGGCTTCTCTCTCAAAAGCTTCCTGTAAGCCAGTCATGGAAGCGCTTGCCTGTGATCCCAGGCTTTGGGGAGGCTGAGGCAGGAGAATCTTGAGTTTGAAGCCAGCCTCATCTACATATCCAGACTCTGTCTCAAAAAACAAAAAAACCAAAAAAACAAAATAGAAAGACTGGGGGGCATGGGCCAAAAGACAGAATACTTGCCTAGCAAGCATGGGGCCCGGAGTTCAAATCCCAGTACCACCGAAAAACAACCACAAAACCCCCAGAAAAACAGCTTCTTCTGGTTAGTATGGGAGAATGGCTTGCCCATGGGGAAGGGATGGAGGACGCTGAACTGTCTGGGCAGGTGGACAGTGGCTGGCAGACAGGAGCAGCAGGAAGCCGGAGGTGAAGTGGGCGGGATGGGGAGCACCCCCCTTGCCAGCCAGGTAGAACTGGTTAAGCCCACCCCCACAGCCTTGGAGGGTATCAGATGGCCCCAACCATGGAGCAGGGGCAGCACAAGGGATGCCACGGGACCACCCAGGCTCCGGGGCACAGGATGGAACCCAAATGCCCCTCCAGACTGTGGGCCATGAGGGCAGGACTCGCTTCACAGACACCAAAGAGAGCCAATTTCTCCCTCAAAGGCACTAGGAAAAGCTTGTTGGAACCCCCGTGACCCCAAAGCCCTCGTTCCTGCTCCTGGGCACCCCACACTCGGGTCACAATGGCCTCATTCAGTCCCGTGAGCAAGACCTCTCTCCCTGCCAGGCCCAGCTTGGCCCCTGCCACCCTGTGCCTGGAGCACACTCCCCCACCCTCCTCTGCCTGGCTGGCTCACTGCTCCTCAGACCTGGGTCTGGCCTGACTGCCACCTTCTCCCAGGAAGCCTTCCCAAATACTCCTCCACATGAATGTTCCCGACATCCCCGACCCTGGCATATGTGTCCTGCACACAGCACAGAGGGTGTTAGACCAGCAGCTGTCATTTGGTGTAGGTACCATCCACCTCTGGAGGCATCTGGGGCAGTTATGGTGATAGGCCACTTGCCGGGCACTCAGTGGGGACAGACTTGACACCTCAAGGTGCCACTGAGGGACCCAGAGGCCTCGACCAATGTGTTTCCTTCCTTCCACCCTATCTCTGCTTCAGCTCCACCAGAAGGGTCTAGGGAGGTTGGATTCCGGCTGCTGACATCCCAAATGACACTACAGCAGTGTGCTCCTGGGCCTGGCTTCTGCTGAGCTCAGCAATGACCTTCTGCCCTGGGTCAGCATGGCCGCAGGTGGGAGAAAGCCGGCAGGGCCCCCTCAACCTTCACCTCTCCTAGTAAGTGGGTGCAGGGTTCAAACAGCTGGGAAAGGAGTCAGCGTAGGGAGCACAGAACTTCAGGCTGCTCAGTGACCACAGGCAGGTCTCCCGACCTCTCTGGGCACCAGCTCCTCCCTAGGAGTGGCTCTGGGGTCTGTGGCTGCTCTCCCTCCCCTCCCCACCCCCAGCACTCCACCGGGGGATGATTTACGGTTCCTGTCATCCTGGCGCAGGTTGCATCTATCCCAGAGCTGCATGGCTCTTCCAGGGAATCTGCCCAGAGCTGTGAGCAGCACTCCGGTGGGGAGTTTGTGGCCAGGGCAAAGGGGAAGGAGCAGCTGGTGGGACTGGCCCTCTGAGTCCTGCCTTGGGCAGTGCAAGTGCTTCACTGTGGGGAAGGCCTGGCCTATGGGTGATAGAATCATGGGTCCTGAACATGGAACTCATAGCCTCAGAACCGGAGTTTGTGCTCAGGGACCTGGGAAACCCCCTAGGGCCCCCAGGGTATGGTGGTCCAGGCAAGGGGGCACTCTATTGGGAGTGGCCCTCCTAGCCCCTAGCTGCAGGCAAGGGAGGAAGGCAGGGTGGGTCGGCCTCTTTGTTCTGAGTGCAGCAAAGGCTGCTGGTGTAGACAGGGGAGCGGGCTCTCTCGGAGATCAGGTGACCAGGGTCCCCAGGGGCTGGGGCACCGCAGTGCATTGTGGGGTGGAGCAACGGCAGGCTCGCCCAGCAGGAAGGAAGCCCGCCATGCACGGGCGTTCAGTCATCTCCAATCTTGGCCCCCCAGCACCCAGCCTGTTCTCCACCCCCCCACTCCCTACAACACTACTTCCCAAGGGATCTTAGTCTCCCTGTTAGGTCATTCTCAAGACCTCTGGAGCCCAAAATGTCACTCTGACCTTCAGAACCAGCCAGCTTAGCCCTAAGGCCCCCAGAGGCTGCTGGAGAACCCACAAGAATGGCTTCCCACATCCAGGGGAGCTAGAAGGGGGCACAGGCTGGGGAAACCAGACAGTAAGAACTCGGGATGAGCCCTGGTCCCCAGCACTGCCCCGTCAACTCCTGAATGCCAGGCCATCCTGCTCCCAAAGAAGCTCCCACTGAACACCTCCCAGCCAGAGCAAGGGGAGGGTGGAGCCTCAGGCCAAGAGGCGGAGCCTCAGACCAAAGCAAAACCTTAGACCCATGGGTGGAGCTTTAGATCAGAAGACAGAGCCTCAGGCTGAGCATGGAGGCATAAGGGGCTACTGGAAGTATGGCAGCCCCTCTTCTCTCACCCCATCTGAAACCACAGCCCTTTGTCCAACTTCCCTGCAGTCCCTCCTCACTCCCCTTCCAGGACAGGGGAGGGGGCGGGCTGGCACTGGCCTGAGCTGAACTCTGCATGCCAGAGAGGGGCCCCTGCAAGCAGGCCAGGCAGGCCAGGCAGGCAGGATGCTGGGTCAGCAGTGGGGGAAAGACACAGACAGGTTCTGAACCACAGGCTTGGGTACTGGGTAGTCATGGGTTATGCCTGGCCACACTCTGCCACAGCAGGAAGGTGAAAACACGAGTGACAGAATGAAAGATGCTGAGGGGGTTGGTAGGCTCCCAGTGTAGCCCCAAGGAAGCTGCACGAGGGCAGGGGGCTTCATCTGTCGTCTCCATCTGCACTGCAAGCCCAGCACCAGGCACTGCACCAGGCCCCACACATAGGATCTTGAATACTCCCTTTGAGACTGAACAAATGGGGAAGGAGGGCGAGGCAGGCGGCATAACGGTGCAAGACCTGGTAAAACCCGAGGGCTAGACCTGGGCCCACCAAAGGCCCAGAACATTCCACTGGATGTCTGAGGCCCTAGAGACCAGCCATCCTCTCCAGGAGCCTGGAGCTGGTCAGGCCTCCGTGGCTCTGTGTGCAGTTCAGCATCTGCAGAGACGGGGCTCCACACCCACCTGCAGCTTGGGTAGTTGAGGCTGAGGGGCCTGGGGCCCATCCACACTGCTGGTACAGCGAAGTCTGGCACACAACTCCATCAACACTTAGGGCAAATACACAAAGAAAGAACGAACTACGGAGCCCTGGCCTGTTTGCCTCGGTGAGCCACCTGACAAGATTACTCCTGAGACTCCACTGGGAACCCAGCAGGGAAGGATGGAGTGTCAGGTAAAGTTTCGGCCCCTTTCCCACAGGGTCCAAGGACACGGCAGCCAGCCTCCAAGATGGCCCCAGGACACCCTGCCCTCTCCTGAGTCACAGCTGGCGCAGCCCCATCCCACACTGGACCACAGGCCGCTGGGTGAGCAACGGAAAATAGCTAAGTAAAGGTGTGGCCCATCGGAAATTAGATAGAAAAGGACTGTGGGAGCTGGACATGGTTGCTACACTGCTCTTCCTAGCACTTGGGAGGTCTAGGCAGGAGGATCTCGAGTTTCAGGCCACCTTGGGCTACATAACGAGACCCTGTCTCAAAGCAACAAAAGGACTGTGGTCTCTAGCCTGACCATACACACACGAGTGCACATGAACTCACTCTCACTCTGCCTTCTCTGTGAGCACTCACTCTGTGACAAGTGAGCTACCATGCTGAGGACACTCAGGTAGCCTGGACACGGGGCCACTGGGACTCATGTTGAGGAACTGCAGCCTCTGGCCAAAAGCCAGGACAAGGAAGTGGCTGCTCCAGTCCCAGTTGGGCCTTCAGATGAGTGGACCAGCAGATGGCCCGAATGCAAGCTCAGGAGACTCGGCCAGAGCCGCCCAGCCTGCAGCCAACCTGACAGCCACCTCACAGTTGTTTTAAACCTCTGGATTTGAGGGCAACTTGTCATGTGGCAACAGCAGCCCACATCACAGTTGGCCCCGTCACTGCCCGGGAAGGACAACCCCTGGAACCCCCAGGAGAGGTGGTGCAAGGTGGGGGGATGGCCAGACAGGGGTGCTAAAGATTGGTGCCAGCCACTCACCTAACTCAGTGGGTTTCAGCAGCTCATCCAGCATGTTGAAGAAGGGCAGCTTCACCAGGCGGACTTCTGGCTTGAGGGTCTTGGTGGGTAAACGTCCAAGTCCATTTAAGTACTTCCCATAGAGTACAGGGTAGTCAATATTGGGGCCCGACAGGGGAGTCCTGGGCACTGTGCCTGCCCGGTCATAAGTTGAGTGCATGGTCAAGGGGTCCAGGGGCCGGTGGGGCTGTGGACCCGGTTCTGCATTCTTCTTGGCGTAGCGCGTCTCATAGAGCTCTTTGATCTTCTTGAACAGCTCGGGGCTGCAGTCAAATTGCACCAACTGCAGGGCCCTGGTGACCAGCTCGTGCTTTAGCCCGCTCTTGCTGCGGCCCACGAATCCCAGCAGCATCTGGAGGTCGGAGACTCGGAAACTCATCACCATATTCTGAGGAAAGCAACCACATAGGACACTCTCAGAGGCTAGAGCCAGGGCACCCAAGGAAGGAATGTGCCACTGCTCCTGCTGTCAGAAGCCAGCGGCCCTTGCTCAGCCCCACCCCCTCCAACTTTCCTCAGCATCCCTGAGGCAGCAGAAGCTCCTCTGCCTACCCTGCCACCCACCTTCTATTTTAGGTTCTTTTTTCCCATCTTCAAGTCTGAAAGCATCGCCAGGAAAGGAACTGGGAATCACTCTACCAGTAAACAGCCTCTGCCATCATAATGCCAGAAGCCAACACCAACAGCCTTCCTGACTCTGTCTCTTCATCAGAGTGGATAACACCTTCCACCTCATTGGGAAGTTGGGAGATACCAGATGAGGTAACCAGACGAACCAGCTGGCAGAGCGAGTGCTCAACCAACCCTGGACACAAATATGTTTTCCCTTTGGTCTAGGTGATCACAGTCACAATTTACTTAATACTAATCACCTGCCAGGAAGGGAGGGGATGTGTGATGACACTTAGCACTATCCTTAAAACACCCTGCCAGGTTGGGGCTGGTGTGAGCACCGTGTTACAGGAGAAGATCTGCTCTAGAAGCCAGGGCAAGTTCCTCCCTAACACAACCCCTCCACACGGGCACCAACACAGGTGCTGGGCACTGGCTGATGACCAGCTCAGCAGGATCTTTTCCCTGGGCACCCTGGATACCGGCCTCCATCCATTCCATGCCAGGAGCTTCCCAGTTGTGACAGTCACACATGTCCTCAGGCCCAGTGTACCCAGGGACAGAATGAGCCCTGGCTGAGAATGGCTGGTCATACAACCTGGTGACCGACCTGGTGGCAAAGTGGCAATTAAGAGTCAGTAGGATCTGGCACTGATCACCTGGCAGGGTCCCTCCAGCTAAATCAAATCAAGCCAGAGCTCAGTGGATCCCAGCATGTGACTAGGGTTTGTCTGGCAAGGGCTGAACTACAACTGGACACTGAGGACAGTGCAGGTCCCCAATAGGAGCCACGTGTCCCTGAAGGATGGGCCAGCCTGGTCCTGAGGCCACCCCTGAAGCAAGTCTGGGATGAATGAAACATGGTGGGGAAGGCAGATGGAATGGGAAGTTGCCAGTAACACCACCACACGGCCTGCCCCCCTTACACAGGTGAGGAATCTGAGACTGGTGAGAGGGAAGGACTGGCCCGAGGTCTCCCACTGGTAGGACTAGCATTTAGCCCATGGCCATGAGGCTCCTAACAGCATTTTCTTCCACTCACACCAGCTACCTGGGCGCAGGAGTGTTTGGGGGAGTGCACCACACCTGCACCTGGGGACCTTAGTGGTCTGCTGGCTCTCAGGAAGTCGGAGATGATTTGAAAACAGATATGCCCCACCTCCCTCAGTTTGACTTCCTACCTTGTATAGAGAGAGAAACAGCTTGCAGACAAGATGTTCTTTCTGGAAGAGGCCCAAGCCCTTAGAAGGGAGAGGCAGTATGGGCAGCTGGGTGATGACCAGGACAGTTTAGCCAGAGATGGGGGGCTTGGTGGCCCTACTGACATGCTCAGCCCCAGAGCCCACACCTGCCTGCTCACTGAGACCTGGCCCTTTGGACCAGACTGGGCACCCGCTGCATGGTGAGCATCCCGCCACATGCCCCTCTCACTGCCATACACTCCTGAACTAGATTTCTCCACAGTTGCCACTACTGAGGAGCCTGCCCTGGACACTGAGACATGAGGGACCGTGGGGAATAGACATTCAGGAAGCATCCCTGAATGACCTGAGGAGCACTTCCTGTCCAGGATCCATCCGGACCCGCCTGCTGTCAGAGCTGTGTTTATAAACAGCACCAGGCCCGATGGCTTCCAGAGCTGGATTTCGGCTCTGGGCTTGTTCAGAAGTGTGGGGAAGCATGAGCCTGGATGGTGTAGCTGTGTCTAGCCTCTTCTCTGGCACTGGCTCCTCCTAGGAGCTCCCTGGGAAAGGGAAAGGTACCCTCTCCCAGGAAGGGAGGTGGATGCAAATGCTGAGGTCACACCCTCCAGGCCTACAGGAGCCACAAGTGCAGAGTCTCAAACATCTGTGTACCAACAAGCCCCATGTTGTCTCTGCCATCAGGCCCCTGTGCACCTCAAAAGACAAAATCTCCAGCTGATCATCCAACAGAGAGGGGGAGCTACTGAAAAAAGGACATTTCAATCACATTTAAGGCACTCTGAGGTGAAGCAAGAGACTCAGGGAGCTAGGAGGCCCCTGACCCCCCTGAGTGAACAGAGAGGCTCACAGTTGAGAAAACTTGAAAGAAAGATCAACTTGACTTAATTGGGGTGGGGGCCCAGCCACCAAGAGGTCACTCAGAGTTCATCAGATCATATTTCAAGGCCCTGGAAATATAAAAGAGTGCAGCCCCTATCGTCTGCAGGGTGGGGGTGGGGTCCAGAGGCAGAGCCCTTGTGTCCCCCCACAGCCCGTTACATTTCAGGGCTCCAGAGGACTCCAGCAGTGGGGCTGAGCCTCAGGCCTGCAGAATTCAGACATCCACCTCTCCAGGGCAGGTCCACTTCCCACAACCCTGGAGAGGGGCAATCATGTGTGGCATATGTTTGGGGGAGTCTGCTAAGGGAAGTTAGGTATACTTTATAATCACAGAACCCCGAGGCTGTCTATCTTTCAGGTCCCAAGTGGGGAGAGAAGGGCAATGTAAGGAGAGAGGAGCGAGGAGAAAGAAAACACTGACAGGTCAGGGCCAGAAGGGTCCCAGGAACCCCCAGCTCCCTAGAACAGTGGCTTTGGGGGGCACTTCTGAAGGGAGGTGGTCAGAAGCAAGGATTCTGAGACCTAACCAGGGAGACAGGGATCCTCCGAGCCAAGTCCCTATGGGGTTAACATGTGACCTAAGAGAAAAGAGGAGAGTCCTGGAACCCGGATACACAAAATGAGGGAGTAGTGGTGGAGGGGGGCCCTAAAGAGGCCCACCCGGGAGCAAGTTGGGGACCCTGCAAGGATCAATACAGGAAAACAGAAAGAAAAAGGGAGGGGGCTCAGAGCTGGGTGCATAGGGTTCTGGGGGCAGAGCAGGCAGCAGTCTGACCCAATGGGTAGACTCACCAGGGAGTGAACATACGATACAGAATATGACACAATCCTTCAAGTGTTGGATTGAGAGCCCCCCAAAACAGAGACGATACCCAAAAAAAGAGGGAGCAGTAAAGCAGAACCCAGGACCCAAGGCTTTCTGAAAAGGAAGACCGCTGATCAACTTAAGACCTCTGGTCAGGATTCCATCCCATCGGGAGGGCAACGGAAGTGTCACGAGGGGGCGGGGTGCTGGGACCAACAGGAAAAGAAGAGGGGCTCCAAAGCAGCCTGGAGCACAGACGCCAATTGAACTACTGTTTGCGCTGGTTCAGGACCTGAGCTCATCGAGCTGGGTGGTAAGAAGGATGACGGGACACTCCCCCAGGGTCAGGAGACCATCTCCAACAGACAGTTGCAGACCCCAGGCTGACTGAAGGGCGAGGAGGTTGGGACCTCCAGATCCCGGCCCTCAGTGCCATGGCGGCGCAGACACTCCCCCCGCGGCCAAAGAACACAGAGCCCGGCTCTGGACGAAAAGAGCGGCCAGAAACCCAGCCTGTCCCGGTGTCCGGGGAACTGTGCCTGCAGCCAGGAGGCGCGGCCCTGTCCCCGAGCTTAGGAACACCGGACCCTAACTGCTCGGGTCGGTTGGAGAGACCCTACCACAAGCCAGAGCACAGGGCGCGGGCGGGAACATTGGGTTGAGATTTGGGACCCCGCCCCCGGCCTCCCCGCCCCCCCGCCCGCTCCCCGCGACCCGGGGCTGAGACCAGGGTCCCGACCGCAGCTTTGGGCGGGCCGCGCCGCGTGGCCCCGGGCGGAAGGTGCAGACCTTAGCCGGTCGACCGGCCCCCGCCCCGTCACCCGACCAACCCGGCCGAAACCGCCGCCGCTCACTCACTTTGGCCTCCACCAGCTCCGCCGCCATCTTGGCCACCAGCGTCCCCCGCGCCGGGAGCCCCCAGCCGTCGCGTCACGTGACCGCCCGCCACTCGCGGGCGGGGCCGAGGTCCGGGCCAATTAGCACTGGCCCTCGCTCCACCCCTCAGGGCGCGTTGTAGAGTACTGCGCACGCGCACGTGGCAGCCACCCGAGGTTTCAGCCAATCAGAGAAGCCCTATATAAGACCCCCCCTCCCTTCCTCCTCCCCATTTTCGCTCGCAACAACCACGCCCACTCCTGGCGGTGTCTGGCTTCTTAAAGGGACAGGAACCTGGCACAGGTGGGGGCGGGTGCTTGGTTGCGTCTAGGGATGGAAGTAGGGAGGGGGCGGTGGCGACAACAATGCAGACAGGTGTCGCGACTCCCTGCGCGAGGCGGCCACCAGGTGCGTGCCCGGACTGCCGGCGGCGTCAGAGAAGGAGATGTTTGCTCAACCGCAGCAGCTGCCAGTGCGTGCAATTTTGCGCCTTGCAGCGCAGCGCGGTGCACACTAGCGTGCTCCGGCGCCCCGCGCACTTTACATCCGGGTCCTGAAGTGCAGATGGGGCGCGGATTCCGCACCCCGGAGCTGCCACAAGGCGGGGAATGCGGGACGCACTACCCCCAAACTCCCTAGTGCTCATGCAGCTCCTTTGCAAGTAACCAGATACCTCTTGTAATGCGCACCCATAATATACCTTGGGAATCGCTACTAACCTGAAACTTATCCGCTATAAAGCTCTCTCTGGCTCCCTAGTGCCCACAAACGCAACGAACTTTTTGCGTCAAAAGCAGGAAGTACAGGGGCATATCTATACACCGGGAACCATTCACCGAGACTGTAATTCTAAGGCAAAAAAAATAATTTTTTTTTGAAACAGGATCTAAGTACATAACCCATTATGATGGCCTTGAACACCTAAAAGGTGGCCCACGCCTTGAATTCTAGATTCTCCTGTCTTATCCTCCCGAGTGCTGCAATTACAGACATAATCTAAGGCAAAAATTTAAGGGGATGACAAGAAACCCCAAAAGCCAATAATCGAGAAGTTAGTGAATTTTTAATTTAATTTTTTTTTTTCAGTACTGGGGTGTGAACTCAGGGCCTACACCTAGAGCCACTTCACCAGCTCCTTTTTTGTGAAGGATTTTTTTTTGAGATAAGGTCTTGTGAACTGTTTGCTCAGGCTGGCTTCAAACCACCATCCTCCTGATTTCTAGCTCCTGAGTAGCTAGAATTACAGGCGTGAGCCACTGGTGCCTGGCTTAATTTTATTTTTGAGATGGTGTCTTCCTGTGTTGTCCAGGATGGCCTCCAAACCTCCTGCCTCAGCCTCCCAGTAGCTGAGACTACAGGGTGGGCCACCATGTCATTTTAAAATAAAAAGGAAAGCAAAACACTCTTTGAAGGAGAATTGGCCAGGTGTGGTGGTGTATGCCTGTAATCCCAGCACTCAGAAGCTTTTTTTTGTGTTACTGGGACTTGAACTCAGGCCTTCACCTTGAGCCACTCTGTCAGCCCTTTTTGTGATGGGTATTTTCTATATAGGATCTCATGAATTATTTGCCCAGGCTCGCTTAGAACCACGATCCTCCTGATCTCTGCCTCCTGAATAGCTAGGATTATAGGCATGAGCCATCAGTTCCCAGCTTGTTTTGGTTATTGAGATAGGGTCTCACTTTATACCCTGGCTGGCTTGGACTGTGATCCTCCTATTTATGCTCCTGCATTGCTGGAATGACAGAGTGCACACCTCACTCAACTATTCATTGCGATGGGGTCTTGGGAACTTTTTGTCTGGGCTGGCCTCCAACCATGATCCTCCCAATCTCTGCCTCTCAAGTAGCTTGGATTACAAGCGTAAGCCACCAATTCCTGGCCACTTAAGTCTTTATCATAAACACCCTGTAAAGTTTTTTTGTTTCTGTGAATGAGCAAAATGGATGTTATTCACTCCTGTGAATGGCAGCAGATCAACCCTTTCCTTATGCCTGGTAGCTCCTTCTCTGGCACCTGGCAGGACTGCTTTAGGGCAGCCCTGCTATTTTGGACACTTCCTGATCATTCTGAGAACACTCCATCTGGAAGGACCACTGCTGTGCACACCACACTCTTCACCCAGGAGAGCTTGCTCCTGTCATGACTGCTCCAGACAATCTACAGGAAAGCAACTGTACAACAATTGGGTGAACTTTTCATGACCCTGTAGTATTCTTGCTCAAGGTGTAAGGGGGAGCACCTGCCTGGGGAACTCACCAAGAAGCCAGTGATTGGTGGAATTAGAAGCTGTACTGTGATTGGTGCAAATAAAATCCCTCATTTGCATGCCAAAACCATGTGACATCACCTCCTGGCTGTGCTGCCCCTGTAGTTGCCACATTAGTCTCAATGAAACCTTTCTCTAGAAAGGTTTTCTCTTGCCTACTTTTGATTGTTATCATAAGTAGGGTAAGTTAAACAAAGGAGGGGCAGAAGTGGCAGGGAGCAAAGACATCAGAGATAAGGGAGGCCAGTGAAATGTGGAGAGACGGGAGGTGGAAGGCAGTTGGCCAGAAACTGCAGATCCTAGTTGTTGGAAGATTTCTTGGGAGTTGCCTGGCCTCACAGGCTAAGGGTCCCCAGAGGCTTGAGAACTAACACAAACTGATGCCCACTGCTGCTCTCCCTCACTGCTACTTAGAACTGAGGACTTCACTGATGGGTAAGTCCTGAGTGCGCGGTGGTCAGAGCCCAGGGTACCCTCTAGCCTGAGCACTAAGAGCTGAAGCCATGAGTCTAGTTCTGAGGGCATGAAGCTGAGTGTCTGAGGCTGTCAGCCTACTTTAGAAGTCTTTGGCCCTTCAGCCAACACTGAGAGGGACTCCTCACACACTCTCCATGTCCATCCAAGTACAGCAGAAGAGCACAGCCAGTTCTATGGTAACGATGACACATAACATGTACACTGTCAAAACTCGGAAACTGGTGTACACCAGTACTAGTATGTCGTCATTTGCATTTTACCAGTTTTTATATGCACATTTGAAGGCAGTGGGTGTATGAAATTTTTTTCCTTTTTTTTTTTTTGGTAGGACTGGAATTTGAACTCAGGGCTTCAGGCTTGCAAAGCAGATGCCCTTCCATTTGAGCCACACCTTCAGCCCACTTTGCTCTCCTTATTTTGGAGATGATGTCTCTAGAGCTACTTTCCCCAGCTGGCCTTAAGCCTTGATCCTCCCAATCTCAGACAACCAACCAAGTAACTAGAATTATAGTCACTGGTGCCTGGCTTTTTTTTTTTTTTTTTGAGTCAGGGTCTCTGGAAGCTGTTAAAATAAGCATTGTATTGTCTACTGTGCAAGTCCCTCCTCCGCTTCCTCATTGGCTGAATATTATGGGGTTTACATTCTTTCCCTCCCCCCCCCATGACACCTAATCCCTACTGGGTTATTCTAAAATATGCCTTTCTTGGGATTGGTCAAATTTTAGAAGTGGGATCTGCCTCTTCTTGTGCAGGAAGGGCTCTCTGACAGGTGCCTTATGGGACCTACAATTTTTACCTATGTGATTTACCCTTCCCAGTTTAAGTTCCCTCATAAGTTGCCCCTCCCCGCAACACCCGCAAGCTGATATGCACACAAGCAGCCAGGATCAAAAATGCTTCACCTTGAAAATGGACCACCGACTATTTCTAACAATGTTGAAAGGCAAGTCTGGCTATTTTTTTTTTTTTTGGGGGGGAGACTGGGGTTTGAACCCAAGGCTTCAGGCTTAGAAAGCAGGTGCTCTACCACTTGAGCTACACTTCCAGTCCATTTTCCTGTGGTTATTTTGGAGATAGGGTCTTGAGAATTATTTGCCTGGCTGTGAGCCTACTGATCTCTGCCTCATGAATAGTTGGGATTACAGACGTGAGCCACCGTACCCGATTTATTCTTTCTATTTTTAGTGATAAAACTGCCCATTTTAGGCTGGACACGATTGGTTGGCAGGGTGGCTCAAGTGGTAGAGCACCTGCTTAGCAAGTGTGAAGCTCTGAGTTCAAATCCCAGAACCACCAAATAAATAAGTAGATGCTGGATAGATAAATAAATAAATAAAAGCAAGCTTTTAAGCTGGACACACGGCTCCTCAGTCCCAGAATAAAGACTACATTTCCCAGCTTCCTTTGAATAAAGACTACATTTCCCAGCATACATTATAGCTAAGTCTGGTCACATGATAAATTCTGGCCAATGATGGAAGTGGTTCATGTATTCAACCCTCTTCCTCTTTCCTTCTTCCCTCTGGCAGGGATGTGAACATGAAGGTGTCCCATCCTGGGCCATGTGGATTGGAACAATAGTACAGGAAGAGCAAAACAGACATGATGAGCCTTTTATTTTTTACTGTATTTTTAATCTTTATTATTTTATTAATTTATTAATTTATTTTGCTATGTAGCTCCGGCTGGCACTGAACTTTTGATCCTTTTGCCTCAGTCTCCTTAGTGCTGGGATTACAGGTATGATCACCATGCCCAGTTTTACCTGGAATTTTTTTTTTTGCAGTGCTGGGGGTCAAACTCAGGTCCTAGCACTTTGAGCCACTCCACCAGCCCTTTTTTGTGATGGGTTTTTAGAGATAAGGTCTTGCAACTATTTGCGTGGGCTGGCTTTGAACCATGATCCTTATCTCTGCCTCCTGAGTAGCTAGGACTGCAGATGTGCACCACCAGCGCCTGACACATCTACCTTTTTTGTTTTTTGGTGGTATTGGGGATTGAACTCAGGGCCTATGCACTTGCTAGGCGGGTGCTCTACCACTCAAACCGCTCTACCACTCAAACCACTCCACCATGGAAGAATCTGCCATTTGGTTCCAAATTCTTGCCTTCTCCTACAGGCTGTCTTCCTGCAGTAGCCACCAGAGGGCGCCCACGAGTCCCAAAGTCAACCAGCAGGGGGCGGTGGCTCACCATCTGTAATCCTAGCCACTCTGGAGGAAGAGATCAGGAGGATCTTGGTTCAAAGCCAGCCCCAGGCAAATAGTTCTCCAGACTGGATCTCAAAAAAAAAAAAAAAAAAAACCCGTCACAAAAAAGGGTTGGCAGACGGGTCAAGCGGGTCAAGTGGTAGAGCGCCTGCCTAGCAAGTGTGAGGCCCTTGAGTTCAAAGTATCAATATGGATTAGTGTATACCAGGTAGGGTA